ATTATTATTATTTTAACAACAGTATTCCAATGCCAATCTAATGCCTGGAGAACACTGATTGCTGGAGAACACCAATGAAGGAGAGGAGGGTCTCCATGGCACGCCTCAAAATAAATTACAATTTAATAGAAGAAAAATGTTGTATGTTTCACAACTAGCACTACGAGTATTGAGCAGGATATTACAATTATTTTCTGCAAGTTTGTCTTAAAATACTTTTAGTGCTGAAGGTAGGGCAAGGCATATATATTTTGAGCATTTTATGGCCTTTGTACGGGGCCATAATGCCATTCTCTTTTTGTCAAACAAATTCAACATTAAATACACAACTGTTCTCTACATCAACCGATAACAAAAAGACATTGCATCTTATTTATGGGTAGGCCTTTCTGTAATAAAACACTGGAGTTTCCATAAAGCAGTTACGTATGGTGACACTTTCAAATTGTTTTGAAAACAACCCTATGTGTTTGAAAGATCACTTAGGGCTACGAAAGGTCCTAATAATAAAAATCCTTAACAATGACACAGTAACTTCTTACCTAAACAAAGACAGAGGAAAAATTACATCAGTATTCATTGAAGCCACCACTTCCTGTTTAGCAACTTTTATTGTGATTATCTCTTAGTAAATCAACAGAACAAATAAGTATGAATTGAACAATTCAAAGCATGCTGAACAAAAACACTGAAGCACAATGGCAAATCAACTGAAACTCCCAAGCACGAAAGACTACCAGCAGTTAAAAACATCCCACCAATTATAAGTGATGTAAGTGATGTTCCTTACACTCTTGAAGAGGCTTCTCACTTGGGTTGGTCGTTCTCTATACTGTGATGCACAAGTAGAAAGTCTTTACAGAAAAATATTGGTAGATGTATGGATGTCTATCCTGAAGATCCTCATATGGGTTTATTGAATCCTTACTACCATATCACTGTGTCAATGTGATTTTAGTTTTATACAGCCAATTAAAAATCTAATTTAACATCATTACATGAAACGATTGGGAGAGGGGAATGAAATTGAAAGTTCAGGAGTTGCAGAAAATTTCGATAGTTCATATTAAGAAAATTTCATCCAACACATTAATCCAGTACCAATTTTAAATGTTTTATTCCAGTTATTTATTAGCCAACTAACAACTGAAGATCAATCACACATTATATATCAAGGTATTTGTTTTAGGGAGTATTTTCCACACCAGGAAAGTAGAAAATATTATCTTGAAATGTTCTAATAGTATAGAGTGTTAGTTCAAGTCTTACATTGTCAAAACATTAACCTTTCAATAAAAAGTAAGGTTTAAAAATATTTCTACTTAGATATTATCTTTTTGTTTTGTGTTTTATTTCTTTTTCATTAAGAACATTTTCTCAGTTTTCACTATTTCTATATTATTCTAAGCATTTATAATACATTTCCTAACTTACTTGGTTGCAATAAATGTTATATTTCTCAACTCATTTCAAATCATTCTCATGTTCAGTTCATTGGCCTTCATTAAGAACACGAAAGTAGTCAGGTTTCCAGCCTGTTTCATTTGCGTTTGCAGTAGACTTAATGGTCTTGTCATTGAATTGAATTGACTTGAATTTGCCTTATTTTACGTGGCGAGACTCGGGCCATCAGGCCCGCTCTTCCGTCTGACCACGCAAATTTTGCTACGCTCCTTTCATCAACTAGCAGAAAGGATGTATTTCTTGGGCGAGAAACAGGCGATTTGAATTTAGCTCAGAGGCGTCATTTAGGCTTGAGGATCTTTAACATGCAAGAAAATCTACTAACATGGGACAGCCAGCTTTACTTCCCCTCTGAAGGAAGGCGTACAAAGGATTTTTTCGCCCTTACAAATCCACGGCTTCGATCGGGCTTGAATCCGCGAACTTGGGTACAACAGCCTGGTACGCTAACCGTTGCACCATCGCCGCCGCTAGTTGTGGTCTCTCACTTTGTTGTGGAATTTCCCCTACCAGGTATCACCAGCAGGGTACCTCTACGCTTCTGACAAGTGTGGTGGTGTAGTGCATGCGAGTGTAAGTGTTAAGGAAAGGGTGAAGATAGTAGTAAAAGACAAGGAAAGAAAGATCAAGCATGGTCCATTTGTTACAGTGGTACTCATTAGTTATTCGCGGATTACAGAGGGATCGCATGGGAGAATGTGGAAGTCTATTTTTGCATTTACAGTTTTGTTTGAGAGTACAGTATTGTCTTGTGTTTTTCATTACCTTTCCACTTATCTCTAAACTGTGTTTTCCCCTCAGAGCCAGCTTCAAGATGTCGCCCCCACCCTGCCTGCCATTACATCTACTCCCTGCTATTCATATCTAGGGTCTTGGAGGGGGCATCCCCACTCCCTCATCATTTCCCCCTCTCAAATTCTCCAGGCTGGGACACCTGTCGATAACTCGCTGAGGTAGCCACAGCCCTTTCAAGCTAGTTCTTGGTAATCGCCTAGGTGCAGCTGTGATCTGTGGATCCATTTTGGAATGGTGGTTAATGACACGATAGTATAGAGAATGACTGTCGGAACAATCCGATGAAATGCATATTGGCAGCAGAAACGGGAGTACCCTGAGAAAACCTGCCACAAACCTGCTTTGTCCACCACAAATTCTACTTGGAAGCGCGTGTAATCGAACCCCAGCACCAGCGGTGGAAGACATGCAATCTGACGACTGCGCCACAGGTTGCCCCCTTTCCATTCAACTTTAATCTGCATTATCCATGACTTGCTACACGATTGCAGGCAAGAGGAGAATGAAGTCAGTCAATGTGCAATCCTTCCTTATCCCTCAAATGATCCATCCACTACAGATCTACAAAAGCATCTCCACCAAGTGGTGGAAGTATGCATAGACAAAACTGTAAAGGCAACAAGTTACAATTGTTCATAATATGTATTTTATTCATAAACGTTATTTTGTTTAAAATATCATTAGCTATTTACAATTTGCAATTATAAATAAATAAGTGATAATATTTTTGGTATACATTAATACTTCACAAGAGTGAGTCACCATCTTGGCGAAATCATTTCATTGAACACATTCAAATATGCACCTCATACGTACAAAATACAACCAAAACAAAAAACGATCACAATGGAATGCATATTGCTGTATGCACAAAAAATGCAAGTACAAAATTGTTTACATACAAACATTTAAAGCTGCCAAAATTAGGACTTAAAAAATTGCAGCAACTTACTTTGCAAGCCTTTTACAATACTAATAACTGGAAATATCAAAATCTTTTAAGCATTTGTGCTTAGCTCTGACATATTCACATATGTATCACAGTTTAATATATGAATCATGTAAGACCTCCACCTTCAACTGCCAGAAGTCTTATGAGTAAAATATCTAAACACAACCAATCACTATTCTTCTACCCTCAACTACTCAATATAAAACCACACAAACTCAGACCCAAGTACTAGCTTCTTCTATTCTAAAACATATTTGATTGTCAAAATTCAACATAAAAAAATTTCATTAAAACATTAACACTTCTTTCTTTCTCTACATCTTTGACTACTTCATAAATATGAAAAAACTATTGAAAAGGAAATAGTAAAGAGTAAAATAAAGGATTATAGAAAAGGCAGAAATAAGTTGTATAAGTGAGAATTCTTAGATGCCTTTGATAGGGTTACTATGTGTATTTACTGACAGTCACAGTAATTGCAACTATAATGACTATTAAGAACACCAGAGCTACTCCAAAGAGAATGAATCGATGTTGCATTGATCTCATAACCATTCCACTGAGAAGTCTCGTACTTCGTCCCAACTCAGCGTCAGTTTCTCGGAGCTGCAACAGAGAGAATTGTATTGTTTTCTACTGTTTTCACTATCTTGCTTAAACTTTTTTTCACAATTTCACTGAAAATTACATGAAAATTAATTACATTTTTTTAATGAACAATTCTGTTTTCAAACATCTCTATCTTTAGTAATGTAGTTGTGGGAGGGGATTTAAAAAATTTTAGTTTTGGAATTTTCAATATTTCAGACATTTAATGAAAATAAAACCTGTAGGATTCTTATAAGTGAATTTCACTCTTTTCAGACACAATTTTAAGAAAAAATCTGAGAGTCATTTTTGAGAGAATTTTGAATAGGTTCTGGGAGTTACGTGCAAAGTACCAACAAAAATTAAACAATACATTTGAAGATCCAGTTCAGGTCTGTTTTATTACAGATCATCCATTTTCATGAAAAATCCAGAGTACACTTTAGGCATTAGTGTTGTTCACTGACAAATACAAGTTTTGAAAAAAATACTTTCCATATCAAGTGTCCAAAAACTTTATCACCATCAAAATCTCAACATCAATTGTTTTGCAGCACTACACAACTTTCCCTAAATACTTATGTATAAACAAGAAAGTTAAATGTAATCACTGCTCTGAATCTGCATATATTTACTCCATTCATACAAATAAAAATAAGAAGAAGGTAGTAAAGACATTCATCTTAATTTTATTCATTTATATTAAGAAAACAGGGACATAAAATAATACACCTCCAGAGCAATAATGTTCGACATTGTTTAAAATACAATGTGTTGGAGAATGTTTTTCAATGAACTACAAGCTAAAGAAACGCAAGGTCCTGAAAAGGAGAATCTGAAGGACAAAAATGGGTTCGGTGCAGCCCAATCTGAAGAAAGTTCTAACTCAACAAGCATCAAAACATTCAAACAAAAAGTGGAGAAAATTTTAAGATATAAAATCAACAAAAAGACGTCTGACATATTAAAGAGTAAAAGGCAACACATCTAAACACACAGATAATTAACTCTCAGGAAGTCACATGCCATTTTCGTATTAGTAACACATTCTTTTCTTTCCAATAGTACTAATAATTATTGTAATTTTGCAATTTATTCACTGTGCTATTTAACTTCCTTGAATAAATGTTAATCTTCAAAATATAAAAATGAATTTTAATTGTTTAAAATGCAATATAATCTAAGTAGTGATCTTGCTTACATTAACTTCTACAATACAAGTTATTTTTTATTTATGAACAAAAAACTTAATTTTTAACAACTTTTTGTTAAGTACTGATGTCACAAACTTTTTATTGCTCACAAGCATCACAAATAATTCAATTTTATGTAATATCACAGACAAATCTGGATGCACATGGGGAGTTTCCCACCCCAAAGAATGCATTCTTTAATAGAATTCTCTTTTAAGCACAATCACGCAAACAACAGATTCTTTTCTTAGAGGGAAGGTAAACAAGCTGTTGAAAGTCTAGGTACAGTCCAGAAGAGTGTGTCAACACTTCTTTTATTTGGCGTCACTAGGGAGCAGATATCTATCATTTTGCATTTTTTGTCCATTGCTTCAGGGCATAACTAAGTGAAATTTCTTGGCTTTAGGTTAGTGTTGGATGCTATGTAGACTAACATGTTAGTGCGTAATTGGCCATTTTTTTTTCCTATGATGCATATTTACTTCAATTATTTCTACTGTGAAGAAAGTTAGATTGTATTATGTTTGCAAAAAAATATTTTTTCCAAATAAATCACGCTTTTCCTGAATTACATCAAGAAAGGTTTAAACAGGAAATGAAATATTTTAATCGATTTTCATTGCATATTGAAGGGCATATTTTCGATTTTTTAGGTCGTAAATGCATATTTTTAATAGGATATTTTAAGATTTTTCTGAGCATAAAAATCCTCCCCCTAGGCATCACAAATAGTCTGGGGATGCTTTTAGTTCTCATGCGACAAGGGTAAAAGACTTCTAGAACAAGACCACAATGGTATCAGTTAAGGAAGCTAGGAGGTTTTCAAGAGATCCAACAACTTAGAGGTCCAAATGTTTAAAATAAACTAGTTTTGGAGCAGAGTACAAAGTATGAAAGTGTTTCAACTTGAAAAGAGTACCAAGACTGAAAAGTTTGGAGAGAATACCAAAGGTAATCCAACAAATGTATGTAGTGCTGACGACAGGAAACTTTGGACAAAGAATGCAAAAGTATAATTTTCGTATGATCATAAGAGTCAATTCACAAATGTAGATTATAAAAAGTAAGTTACTTTATTATTTCCTTAAAATTTACTATTTTGTAATCTAATATTATCAGGAGTCTTTTCAAGACTTTACAAACTAACAAAACCAATCTCTCAATTATTTTATTACATTAATATGAAACATTTTGAAAAGTTAATTTGGAATTTAATAGAAAGCAAAAGGCTGTTAATAAAAATCCATTAATTTAATTATTACAACCTAATAATAATCATTGGCACTCTTAATAAAGGTCTCCGGTAATTCATAACAAAATGACAACATACCCTGCTTCGAGACTTTTGAATGGTTTCACGTTGCGCTGATAATTCCTGGAGTACTTGTGAACCGATGTCCTCTGTTTCAAGAATTATACGATAGCCTGTGGATAAATTTCGCCCTGTTCTTTCCATTCTTTCAGTATTGTCTAGGAGGCGAAGTTTCTGTTCATCATTCATGCTTACTCCAGTTCCATAAAGATCGTCTTGTCCAAAAAAACCTGAAATGCAAACTTTATTACACCTGGTCAAAATACAATTATAAGAAGATACCAAGTAACACAATATGAAACGCACCATCTTGAAAAGGTGGACTTCGTACTTTCATGAACTCTTGGCTTAATCGACCAAGTTCAGCTCTATAACTGTCAACTCTGGTCCTTAATCGTGGCCTTGAAGCAGCTTCAACTTCACGTACTTCTAACTCCATTTGCTCAAGCTGTAATACAAAAAGTTATTCTCTTATAGCTCTAACTCCTTACCCACTTTATATGTACAATTACATTAATGACAAGTACTTACCAATTCTTGAGCTTCTTCAATATGCCTCTCAACATCTAAAACTAAGGATTTTTTATCCACTGAAAATAGAGGTCATGTCATTATATTTCATACTCATTACATTTGGCATCGTGCACAAAATCGAAAAGAAAGCTTAAGAAAACATAACAACAACCAAAAGTTTTCTTCACCTCCATGCGCATTAGATAATTTTCCTATTTTGGCAGTTATATCAGCTGTCAAAACGGCGTATTGTTGTTCGTAACTTTCCATTAACGAAGCCATTATGTTCGTTGCAGATTACACACAACTTTTAAATTAAAATGCTGCAGATACACAGCGGGGTCGCAAGACTAAAAAGAAACAACATTAAAACTACACAAACACGACGTTTTCACGTAAATTAATCATCCTTACGTTCTCAGACAGTTTTCAATTCACTGAACATCTGTCCAACATGGCCGGACTGCGCAGCGCACTGACAGCAGCCACAAATTTCACAGTGAAATTAAATTGCGTCCAGTAGTCACCAATTCTTTGGGTTTCGTGTGAGACATTATGCAAAAGATATAGTAACCTCAAAACTAAAGCATCTTTTTTCCGTTTTTGTGATTCTTTATCTTAGCATTACATAAAGATTATAGTGATCGACATTCGTCAAGGCGCGAATCGATCAAAAACGGCCTTCCCATCTGGCGGGTGTCGAAAATCCGTCACGGTCGGGACTCGAATTCTGGCCAATTTAACATAGGCGCAGGAGGCACGTGCCCATGACAGTAAAAATTTAGGGGTGGCAAAAACTGGACTAAAAAGGAATCGAAAGAGCCTCTTTGTCACGTGTCACTTTTTACAATTTGTATTCAGTGAGTACATTATTCTGTAATAAAGCATAAAGAACTGTCCTTTGTAAAGAAAACGTCAATTTGTTATAAATTATAAGTGGTACGAAAATGAGAACCACCATTACCATTCTCTCAAACGTTCTTCACACTATGCAACAACAAAATTTAATCAAAAACAATGGAGCCATTTTTTGAAATGTTTTAATGCCCCAGGGGCTTTATTACAGAAAATTAAAATATCGCTTTCAAATTCAAAGGGCGGCGACATCTGCCAGATCAATTGGAAAATATCAATTTTGGAGAAAATCGGCTGAACGGTTTAATCACTAGCGTTGTTTACAAACGTACAGACAGACATTTTTCCCATCATTCGATTTTTGTTTGGTATCAAGGACCCACAAAATCGAGATTCTGGCTACACCATGTGTTAGATAATTTTTTTCTAAATTTAGCAACAGGATTTATTCACTTTCTCGTTACCAGGGCCCGGCAATGAGAGTTTTTCTTCCGAAAATTCTTCGCAACTTTACATGACTTGCACATTTCTATCTCAGCCTTAGTTTTTCCACATCCCGTTCTTTGATCTGCAGCTGCTCACTCGACCGAAGAAGATCTCCTGGTTCATCAGAACATTTTCACGTTCTTCATACGCGGCCCAGCTGCAGCTCGTCATTACACTCGAAAAAACAAAAACAATTTCTAAATTCAACTCTAATCTTGGAATTCCAGTCTTTCGGACGTCTCCGAAAACTGCTCCTGATAACTTACGAGTTTAATATTAAAATTCCGTAACTTAACATTTACAACCTACCTCTGAGATCCTTTGCTAGGCTTTGCCTTTTCTCCTTTGTTCTAGTTAGGCCTGTGTCACACGAGCGGCTGTTGACGCGCGTCTGATTAACATTGAATAAAATAGTATTATTCTGCAACGCGCGTCAACCCATCGGTATGCAGAGGCCCTAACAATACCTCTCTTGAATGACCACAATATTGGTCGGAGACTAAATCGTTCTTTTTGAGATATGACGTCAGCATAAAACATCAGTATTGAGTAATAATAAAGAAAATGGAATAGGTTAGTGTTTAGTACATAATTTATTCACAAGGTTATACAGAATACAAAACTGTTAATATATGTTGTATCAACATCTAGTTTCAAAACTAAAATAGTCTATGTAATAAACATCAAACTATTGTTTCATGAATGTCTTTTTATTTTCCGAAAAAGAGCCTTGATCTAAGTGGAAGAACCTTCAGGACACCTATCGAAAAGAACTGAATAAATTGAACAAATGCACTTCTGGTGATGCTGGAGGTCAACCTAAGAACTCTAAGAGGCCATTGTGCGTTATACTTTTTAAAAGAAGAAATTACTCCCAGCTAAACTTCGTCCAATTTAAATACAGATGAAGTAGAAACACTACTTGTTTCACAGGACTGGGACCCATTTAACCCGATTCAAGGGAATGTGGTAAACATATTATTTCCTAACTTCCTTTGGAAATTGGAACTCATTGTGAATCAAAATTATTATTTTATAGATGTTAAATTGATGTTCTAAATGTTGAATTGTTGCAAAATACTTGTGCAAGTCCAGTTTCTCTTTTTAACCAAATCGACAGTTTATATACACAATTATTTCAATTCCCTTCGTAAGTTAAAATCAATGACAAAATTGCATCAACTGTGTTGGGACAATTCAAAACGATCGAGTAGAGAGAGCTCCTCTAAGTGAAATGAAAAAAGACCTGCGCGGAACATATAAAGTTTTAGAAGACAAAATGCCATGAGACTTGTCAGAAGGCGTGACAATGTTGTTACTTGAGCAATCATCAAAAGCAGTAATGATGTTTTCGGTTTCGGAAAATGCTTATGATGCAGCAGTAACAAAAAAGAAAATTAGTGTTCCACAGTTTATAATATAGAATATAATAGAGGAATGGGAAGTGTTGATCTCTTTGACGGGTTACGCGCCGTCTACCGAACAAGAATTCGTTCAAAAAAGTGGAACTGGCATCTTGGCATATTTTGCAAAAACGGAGCTGTTGTCAACAGTTGGTTATTGAACAGAAATGTTCATAGTACGATTAGTCTTCTTGAATATACAATAAGAATTGTTCTTGCATTCTGACATGCCTTTGTGAATGTGAAAGTTGATACCCTTCCGATGAAATCGTGGCGGAAGCAGTGAATTGGCTGCACTCGAAGAACGAAACTATAGACAACACGATGATTAAATCGGAATTACTTAACATTGTTACAAAATACGACGTCCAAGTCACTTATGTTATAAATGAGGTAGCCAAACATTCTGGTCATTGAGTGTTAAAGCTAATTCCATAACAGTAGCAATTAAACCCAATAGAAATTATAAAGATGGAGAGTAACGTTTTTACATCCCAACTCAGCACCGGCAGGAAGCAATAAGTTATGTAGTGATAAAAGAAAAAGTGTGGAAATAAGACGAGATTAACGACGTTGCAGTAGAATGTACAATATATGCAACAGCAGCAGCGGGGAATCGTCTTCCGAAATGCAGTCGAAGTGTTCTGGTGAAAGCGATTTGGGTGTTCCACTATTTCCGGACGGGTGTGCTATGCAGTAGACTGGCGATTGTGAAATGGGTTTCGTGAGTCACTGCTGAAAAACAGTCTTATTCTTATCGCAGGAGGGACTGGTGTTGCCGCAGACACTTCACGTACAGCACAGAACAGGATGTAGCTAACGGAAGAGCGTTAATTTACAAGTCTGAAAACTGCGTCTCGCGTATCAGGAGAGAGGAAGTTAAAGCCGAAGCTCGGGCAGAGATGCGACGAAATGAAAGACGGTAAGAAACAATAGTCCTTTGTAGAATTAATGCCTCAAATATCACAACCGGGCACGACAAACCAGCAAGTAGATGCTTGCCGAAATGAGCACCAACCCTCTGAAGGTTCATTTAAAACTACACTGCCCGAACAACTCCGCCAGTTGTATCAGACAACAAAAGCAGAATACTGGAGATTTCTCAAACTAGACCAAGAATACCAAGACAACCCAGTTCCAAGAAAATGGCACAATTGATAAAACTGTCAAATATACTTCCTACTGAAATGGAACAAATACAAAGGATCACACAGGACCAGCTCGATTCAACCATTTATTGCATGGCAATGGCAATTGTAAGGTCAAATAGTGGGAAAATGATTGAAAGTCGAGAACAAGCGCACAGACAACTGTAGGAACCACCGAAGAAGATCAAGCTGGAGAAGAGAATAAAGCTGCTTGAATCAGATACAGCGTTTCTGGAAGTTTCTATCTCAGGAGAAATAAAAGCAAAAAGATGGAGAGAAAAGCATAAAAAATCATGAGAATGCATCGCAAACACGCAGCGTACAATCCTGAAAATGAGTACATCCCAGAATATATTGATACTCTGAAACAAAAACTTAGTTTTTATAGCCAAAGATCGTGATGCTATAATACGAGTTTAAAGCGCAAAAATGATAACCAAACATTCAATAAAAACCAAAAAGTGTTTTATAGGAAATTGAGAGGGGAAATTCAAAACGTTCCAGTGAAGCAAGCTGTTGAAGAATTCTGTGGGGGGAGGCACTTTCAAGACAGCACATCATGGATGAGAGATGTTACGAATCCTACTGATTCTATCGGACACATGGAAACCAGTAAAATTACTATGAATATCTTATGAAATACTCGTAAGCTGGATAATTGGAAATGCCCTGGCCCTGATGGGCTTCATAACATCTGATTCAAGAGATTCACATGTCTCCATGAAAAGATCTTGACATTTGTGAATCATTACCTGAAAAATCCGGAAGAAAATTCAGACATCTTCAGTGAGAGAGCTACATACTTAAAATCAGAAACAAATGACACTACACATCCATGGAAGAACCGACAAGTCACATTCCACAATGTATTATACAAGATCATGACTGGCTGTCTACACACGATCATCGAATAACATTGCACACAAAATGACATAATCTCGAAGACCCAAAAAAGGCAGCTGCAAGGGCTCATTGGGAAGCAAGAACAGTAATAGACAGTGTTATGTCTCAGGCATGTGAAAAAAAGCGTAACCTGTATAGTGTTTTATTGATTATAAAAAGGCCTTCGACGTGGACCCTCACGATTATCTTATCCATGTCCTTAGAATATACGGTATAGACCCTGTGATTGTGTAATTCCTTAAAACTGTAATAAACCACTAGTGTACAAGAATACACATGCATTCAAGGAACGAGAGTAGTCAGAGAGAGTGAATAGGGAGTAATCACAAAGAGGGAATATATCAAGGAGATAGCCTCAGTCCGTTTTGGTTCTGTCTGGCCATAATCCCATTGTCATAATTATTCGACAACACTAGATTGGGATTTGAACTGAAAGGCCAAGAGAAGTGTATGGTTACCCATTTGACGTACATGGATGAAAAATATTCTCTGGCACTTAGGCTCTGAAGAAGGTAATATATATATATATATATATATATATATATATATATATATATATATATATATATATATATATATATACATACATACACATATATACACACACACATTCTAACCCACCTACCCCAAACTTACCACCTTCAACAGCAGCACGCATGTGTAGTAGGCGTGTTATCAAGATTTGCTCGTGAAGCGAGCTTAAAATTCTCAGGAAGCAGGATCTTTCGGGTACGAGAAAGGTCTGAACCCTCGACACAATAAAATTGCAAAGATTGTGAACAAACGAGCGGATAATTTACCCATAAACTTTTAGTGGCACAATTACACGACAAAAAAATTATCACACTTTTACAGAGAATAAGTAGAACACAAATAGAAACCTTACAATACACAAATTCTAACTTCCCTCAAAATTACAAAAAAAGAACTGCAACAATTATACCACCTTTCACGTAAAACAGTACAAGGTATGGCTCTTTTTTAACTGCCTCAATATTGAGGATTTCTTGATTCACTATTACGCATAACAAAATGTTTCCCACTTTAAGCTATTTTATGAACTCGTCGGTGTGCTGCGATCTCTGCTCTCTCTCCTCCTCTCTTTCTCTTTTTAAACGAACTGCTGTGGTGCAAATGCCCGTGCCTCACCGACGCTGCGATCTCGTGCCAGATGACCTCGCGATTCAAGGTTGTGGGCGCTCCAACGTTTCGCCGAATCTCCCTTGCTGCGTCGACGTTCGAAGTCCCACGCTGAACCAGATCCTTTTGCACGTACGCTTGAGCTGTCTTGAGATGCCTTCTTCTCTCTTCACACGCCTCGTTGTATAAAATTAATTGCGCTTCCAGTTTATGAATTTCTGCGCCCTTTCGTTTGCGTGGCGCGCTACTACTACACTTTTGCGCTTGTGCAGTAATAAGGAGCAATATGACCGTACTGGAATATCCAGAGTCCCTGTGCGAATCTAGAAATTAGTCTTACTGCGATTCCAAAATTGACACAGCTTTCTATCACTTCGATGTCTAATTTCTACTCTAGCTCCACGTATTTAAATAACTCCTACTCTATCTCGAGAAGACTTGCTGACCTGCAATGCGATCGTGTGTCGTTGCAGGAATATCAGATATGCGTTCCGTGTTGCTGAATATCAGAGAGCGCCTCCGAAGGCATGTTACCGTAATTATGGCCCGGACGCCTGGGGAAATTTCAGGAGTGGGATTGCTTCTCATTCAACCTCCACGAGAAACGTTGCTCGCAGTTCGCGCTTTGAACGGTCAACGGATACAGGTTGCGCGTTTAGACCCCCTCTCCGCCGCTTATGGCTATTCCTCGCTGCTTGTGGGTGTTCACAAGTACTAGACGGTGGCATTGGTGGTTGCAAATCCATGACGTCACTATATTATATATATATTATATATATATTATATATATTATATATATATATATATATATATATATTATAATATATATTACTGAAGATTTAGTGATGCAGTTTGTCATAGAATTTGGCTTAAAGTGCGTTAGACCAACACCACCTGTAGTTCGTCTAGGTGGTTGGTTGGACAGACCTCGAAGATGTTTTTATGTTAATTCGCAGCGAAGGCCGGAGCCTTGTTTTTTCGTCGGACACGCGGAGTAAATAGTCACTAGGCTTTTAAATATTGACATTATCCCTGGTATAAGGAATTCTTTTACACCGTGATTTATTATACGACGCCATTCCAAGAGCGTTCTGGTGTAGCTATCTTACATAATTCTGCTTCCGATGACGCAGCGGTGGGTGTGGAAGGTGGGGGTGTTCATGGGATTTTGGAACCATCACAGCCTTCGCGCTTGTACGCGAGAGAAACCATGAAAACCCTTTTCAGGATGGCCGGCCCAGTGTTCGAATCCGAACCTCCCGATTGCGAATCCAGCCATTCAGCGATTCCCGCCTCTACACACAGCCACTCACATTCACTTTCGCTCTCCCCCTGTTCTGTATATATTATATATATATATATATATTATATATATATATATATATATATATATATAAAGTGTTAAATCGTTCAATGATTGTTCGGGAATTTCTTATCTAGAGGAAAAGCATAGCCGAAATTCTAGGTCGATAACAGCGCCGATGTGATGATGTGGTAAGAGAGTGAATCAATCACATGAGAGGGAAGAGAAGTTCCAAGTAGTTCCAGGAAGCAGCTTCCAATTGAAGTAGCTCGTGGTTTCGAAACGTTATAAATGGTTATAAGTTTACATACTCTGTGGAGGTTCTCATACAGTTCTCATATGTTCATATCTTTATGATATTATGAACAGATGTGTCTATATTACATAAAGCAATGCAGAGAGTATAGATCTTTTGTGCTTTAGGTACAGGTTGTATGTATGATGTGCTTATGTATATGTGTGAATGGTAGTAACGATATATGGATTGTGTGATTGTTCGAAGTCAACTTTAAATCATGACTGCAACTGGCATTAGTCAAAAAGAGTACCTTAAAAAATATTTATCAGCGGGTGGCGATGGCAAGAAAAAGAAAAAGAAGGCGAAGGCTAAGCCCGTCACAAGCAGGCAAGTTTGTTTTGACTTTTAGGTTAAGTAATTATTATTTAGAGAAACTGTTACTGAACTATTGTATCATTAAGTGGTACGTGCAAATATGTGGGCTGTATCATTCAGATCAGAAGAATGTTCAAATTGAGATCCAATGTACTTGATTTACTGATTATGTGAGTGACACCAACAAAATTTAACTGATATTTTATTGGGATATCTGTTGTTAAGAATAATTAAAACTTTAGAATAACCATTCCTTCATAATTACATAGTAATTAAACAATTCATCTTATAGTGTGACAGTTTTTGTTTTAAAAAGTTGGTTTAAAAATAAGTTCAAGTAGCAAAATTTGATGCATTAACAGTTTCTCCAAGAGAGACTACCTTACTACATGAATACATTATACTAAAAATGTAAACGTAACAGTGAAGATTTTTGAAGTCTAGAAGATTTCATTTGGATAAATTTACTCAACTAGTTATTGTCAGAAGTATTACATGTTGCACATTCCATTATTTTACTCTACATTTATCCTTTCTTAGAGTATGTTCATTAGATGTGTACAACAATTAAATCAAGTGGTGCTGCAGAAATCTCTCAACACCATTTTGTAACCAATTCGAGATATGTTTATCTTATGATATGAATATAGGTGCATTGATTTTTACTGAAATCCCTCACATCTGCTATAAACTGTAAATATAACAGCTTGCTGAAATTTGTGTTGGGTGTCTTCATGTCTAGAAAATAAGGTGGGGTTAATCAAATTCCCAAGTACAAATACTTTACACTGTATCATTGCAAAGAAAATATGAACATAGTTTCGTTCAAAATCCCCTAAATTGGTTATTGGCTATATATTGGTTTTACAGGAAAACATTCAATGAATTTTATTTAAATTTTGTTTAAGCCCAAGTAGATTAGCCAATATTGGTGCCATCTGCTTTTATAATGGACATATAAAACAACATATCATACTTCTTTCCTATACTAATGTTCCTATATCACATAGTCTTCTTTTTATATTATTGAGTTGTTTGTGTACTATCAGGTCTCATTTTTTCTAAATGATCTGAATGATTCTTCATTGATGTCTGAATGATCAGTGTTTTAAACTCAACCATAAAAATATGTACGGGAGAAATCTATCTTTGAATCAGATTTTTTTTTCTAAAAAGTCCAATAAAACATATTAAAAGGTGTTTTTAAAAATATACCTAGGTTTTATCTTTTATCTAGCTGAAATTATTGAGTAGACAAAATTAAGAGAATTTTCAACATGATAAATCTCAGAAATGGTTCTTTGTCTGTTGTACAATTTGTAATGAAGTGAATCTGATGGTCTATAAACCAGTCTGTGTTTGTGTGTTCCACTCTATATTCTCATTGAATTTATTTTTCAAATTCAGTGTTTTGTTTGTTATAGGCTTCGTATTGTTGATGATGATGTTGACATCCATAACTTGCGACCTTTGGATGATGATGAATTAGAACTGTACGATTTACAAGAAGATGCCCCACAAATTGCCGGCATTATTGATGAAAGACCTGAGGAAGTGAAGATAAAGGAAAAGTTTGGTTCATCAAAGTGGAAAGTAGTAGCAGACGAAAGTGATATGGGTGTTAAAATTATTGATAAATCAAAGAAGGTTAGTGATGTGCAAAACAATCCTGTGTCTCACATTCATCAAGGAATTGGAGATGATTTGTCCCCTCCCAGAAAAGGTGGAAAGGGTGCTCAAGACTCAGATGAATCACCGCCCCGAAACAATAGGCGATCTGAGGACCACTCACCACGAGACAAAAGGAGTCAGAAACATGACTCGGATGAATCGCCTCCTCGAAAGAATAAGAAATCACTTGATGACTCACCAGTAGACAAAAGAAGCCATAAACATGAATTAGACGTGACACCTCCTCGGAAGAACAGAAAGTACACGGACAATTCACCAGTGAATAAAAGGAGTAAAAAGTATGACTCTGATGAATCGCCACATCGGAAGAACAGGAGGTCTATGGAAAATTCACCAGTGAATAAAAGGAGTAAGAAATATGATTCTGATGAATCTCCACCTCGAAAGAATAGGAGGTCTGTGGACAATTCACCAGTGAATAAAAGGGGTAAGAAATATGATTCTGATGAATCACCACCTCGAAAGAATAGGAGGTCTACAGTCAATTCACCAGTGAATAAAAGGAGTCACAATCAAAATTCTGAAGAATCACCTCCAAGGAGGAATCATAGGAAGGGAGAAACGTGTGTAGCTGATGTGTTTCCACACCAGAAATCAAAAAGTGAACGGGATGGTGTTCAGCAGAGTAGGAGACGAAACTATGATTCTGATGAATCGCCTGTTAGAAAGAGCAGAAAGACTACACCTCCAAGGAGACAACAAGGTGTGTCCCCACCTCACCGAAAGAAGAGATCAGATTCAGAAGACAACTCTCTTCATGCAAAAGGTCATAAATACGACTCTGATGCGTCTCCTAGGCGAAGCAGGAAAAACGGTTCACAAAATTCACAATCGCCCTCCACTAGAAAGAAGTATGATTCTGATGAATCACCTCCCCGTAAAGCAAAAAGAAAGTCTTGTGAATCATCCCCTAGAAGAGATGGTTATAAAGAATTTAAGACGAGTCATAGGAAGGACACCTCACCCTACAGTAAAGTCTCTCAACGAAGAGATTCGCCTCTGCCAGGTAGGGTTGGAAGCAAGGAAAGATCAGGACATAGGTCCCGAAAAAGCGATTCAGATGAATCGCCACCACGGCGTAGGAGACCAGCAGAATCATCATCGCCTCCTCGGGGGAATAGACGTGAATGGTCACCACCAAAGAGGGAGAGAAAGCGATTGTCCAGGTCGCCAGAAATGAGACCCAGGAAAAATAGGGAAGTGGAGCAATCGTTACGAAAGCATAGCAGATGGGGTGATCGAGGAGACATTTCTGGGAGTGCTCAAAGGGATTTTTCAAAACGTGTTTCTCCAACTTATCATAGAGAGAAACCAAGTGGAGGTACATCTCTCAAAGACGCTAATAGAAATGATCGCAAAAGAGAAGGAAGAAATTCTTCCTTACAGAGGAGATTGGAGAGGTCAGATTCTGATGTATCTCCTGAAAGGAAATCTAAACCAACAGAGAAAGTGGACTCTAAGAAACAAACACTTGATGGAAGGAAAGCTGGTTTGGTGGGTGCTGATGAACTGAAGGCAGAAATAGCAGACTTGAGGCACAGAGAAAAGGAAATGTTTGAAAAGGTATCCTATTTATTTATTTATAGTTACACTTTGCAAGATCTTACTTTGGGATTGACAGTTAGGCAGAGACAGCTGGTGATGAGTCTCTTGGGTATCAATTACATCAGCCTCTGCCAATCTGCAATCTGCTGACAAATATTTCCGGATTCTACATCAAAGGAATGCTAGGGTTTTTTAGTGCGGGCAAGGGCTCATTGGTCAGAGGGCTGTTTCTCAGGTTTGAACATGATACAAATGCTGGATAGACCAATGATGATTAAGAGTGCTGATGAAAATATCTTATTGCAGAGGAAATTCTTGCAGCTAAGGCAAGAGCTTGTACGTTTGGCAACATTGCATCATGTACAGGCTAGCTGTCAATATCAAAGAAAGATCTCGCAGATAGCGTACACTTGTTTTGGTATGCAGAGATATTAATTACGAAATAAATATTTTATGTGGTTTAAGAAAATAATAGTTTATTTCTCAAAATTGTTGCTACCTAAAATGATTCCCCTGAATATTCACTGGGTTTATTGTGAAAAATAACGAATTATCATTATCAAGTCATAAGAGATAAAAACAGGTTCCATGGCCAAAGTCAATATCTATTTGGTTGTCTGGGAGACGCTGCATCCTAGACACAGATGCGGTTCAGCTATCATGCACATCCTCAGTGCACTATGTTGATGATATCATAAGAGATTTTCAATCTGATTTGGTGCCTTTTTTTATTTTAGAAATTATAATTTTGTTGTGTCAATCATGGCACAAGTCCTACTGTCCATTTTAATTGACATTGTAACTCATTATATTGTACCATCATTCTCATTATTGTTATTAAACTCTCCTAGAATATTTACATAATTTTTAGAATTTAAGATATTTTTGTTGTCTATCTTTCTTTTTCTGTCGATATCATTTGCAAAACCTAAATGACATTGGATGTGATACTCTGAAATTATTACAGAATAAAGTTGATAGCTTACTCCTGTGAGATGTATACTACTTGTGGTGTGAAATGAAGGTTGTTATATCCCACTCAGAACAATTGGTATTTTATCTTCCCCCTTCATGCACTTACTTCATCTTTTCTCCTTTAGTTTTTTGGTTTGCATATGTTATTACAACTGCTCTGTTTTATAATGGCTTAACATGAAGTTTTGTAAATGATTCAACAATTTTTCATTCAAGGTTAATTTTTCGGTGAAATTAAATTTTTAGATGGATGCGAGTGTGTCTGGCCGGGGTGCTGCAGCAGTGATGCGTGATAGAAAGACTGGAAAGAAACGTGATTTGGAAGAAGAAGCTCGCGAGAAGCAAGAGAAGGACCTGAAGCAGGCAGAACGAGATGCGAAATACATGGAATGGGGAAAGGGGTAAATACACCAATACAAACATTATTTAATTTAATAACTTCCGGCAAATGTTTTAATTCTTTTCAAAGTAATTGCTTAGAGGTAATCGAAATTATTATTGTTGATCAATTTTAACACTAGATAGTTGGCAATGCTGCCTTACCAGAAAGATGAGGAACTCTCAAAATGAGCGATTCAAAAAATTGCCCTTATTTACTTACTTTGAGAAATCTGAAAAGTAATGCATATTATAGTATTGAATTTATAGGAAAAAAACTAAATTTGAATTTGCTATGATTCTTGAATATTTGTATAGAAATTAAAAGTTTCCTTTGTATTTCAGGTTGAAACAAGTAACCGACAAAGCTCAGAAAATGGAAGACGCTTTGTATGAAATGTCAAAACCTCTAGCGCGTTATGCAGATGATGCTGACCTGGACAAATACCTCCGAGACCAAGAACGAGAAGGGGACCCCATGCTGCAGTACATAAAAAGCAAGAGCAAGAGCAAGGAGGAAAACAGTATGTACAGTTATTTTGATGTAGATTCAGGACTGTGTTAATACTCACATTCAATTCCTTCTAACACTGTTGAGAAATGATAGGCAGGAACTTTGAGATTTGGAGATGAAGTTTTTGAAATTGATACAGTTACCTAAAGTGTTGAAATTTACGGTAGTTATTTTAAAACAATTAGTTTAAACAAATAACATTTGGGTCATGTATTTGCAACATTTTGCAACTACATTCTATTTTTTTAGTCCATATAACATTGATAAATTTGTGTATACAATGAAAACGTCCAAATGAATGTCATTAAGTATGAATTGTTCATAGATTCATATTTAATGACTTATTCCACATGGATGTTTCGTATTTTATCTATAAACGAAGAGAAAACTTGGTACTCCTTTTTAAGCCTATTGCACACACAGAGGAGTGTAAGATTTGGCCTAGTTAAAGTTTATGTGGAGGAGTGCAGGAAACTAAAACTTATATATAATATAGGTAACAAATATATTAAATTAAATAATATAGTGTGGAGATATACCATGCAACACATTACTATCATACATTGCACATAACTGGCTATGTAATGGTTAACATATCGAACTGTTATACCCAAGTTCGCGGGTTCAAACCTGATCGAAGCCATGGATTTTTAAGGGCGAAAAAATCCTTCTCCTTCTGAGAGGAAGTAAAGCCATGTTAGTAGATGCATGTAAAAGACCCTTAAGCCTAAATGAAGCCTCAGGGCTAAATTCAAATTGCCTGTTTTGTTACCCACGAAATATCTCCATTCTCAGTTAGTTGATGAAAGGAGCGTAGCGATAATTGCGTGATTAGACAGAAGAGCAGGCCTCATGGTCTGAGTAAATAAGACGCATGTAAAATAAGGCATCAATTCAAATCAATAACTGGGAAACAATATGTTTTAGAGCCTTAAAATCTGATTTTTATTTTCCCCAGTGGACAAGAATTTTGATTTTTATGACCTAATTATGAAATAAGACTATTTTAGATATTATATTCCAAGCTTAGCGTTTAAGAGAAAAATACTTCACTCCACATTTGCTTCTCAAATACTTCACTCAGTATTTGCATCAAAGAACCTTGGAAAATGGCAGTAAACCTCATTGATATGAGGATCATTGGACCCAAAATTTCAATACTTACAATATTGATGTTAAAATAAATGTCAGAATATTTGTGAATAAGAGAAAATCATTAAATATTTCGAGCTCCCTCTTGTGATATTATCTGTGCATCCTTCCTCATATACAGGATAAACAGATATTCAGTAAATTGAATTATTTTTTTCTTTGAGTGCAGATGTTTCTTTGTATAACCTTTTACTTGAATTTTTTCAATGTGTTGCAGGCAAACCCCGATACGAAGGTTCCTTTATGCCAAATAGATATGGTATCCGACCTGGTTATCGGTGGGATGGTGTTGACAGATCAAATGGATATGAGAAACAGTGGTTCGAAACCCAAAATGCGAAAAAAGCAGTCGAAGAGGAAGCATATAAGTGGAGCACATCAGACATGTGATCAGTGTTAAGCAGTGTGGCATGCGAAAAGAACTGCCAAGTAATCATGGAACTTTTTATATGTATTTGTAATCTGTATATAAATGTATGATATTTTATTTATAAAAATTGTATAAAACTTAAAATGTGTGAGTTATAATTTTTGTGTTGCGTGGTGTTTATGATAGTGTTTTGGTGAATAGTGCACAAATGCATTATCAGGTAGATGGGGCCAAGGGTAGCAGATTTCATCAGTGAAACCGGCTGAGGGCAGCAATTGAGGTCACTGCAGTGCCTCTGACTGGGATGGTGGCAGGATTTTCAACACTAGCTAGATGGGTCCAGTTCAGCAGCTGTCTGGAGAACAAATCTAGTGGCTGGCTGCTTTGATCCGTAGTTTTCCATGGTTTTGTCCGACCAAAACTACCCTAACAAATGGGTTCCGGATTGCACTCACTTTCCTTCCTCTTCCTTGTTCTATCCTTACCTCTTACTTTAACACATACTTCTCTACCTCACCAGTCAGGAGCTTAAGAGCTTGCCTGGCTGGGATGGTGCCCCACTGATGAGAATTATTAAGGACTGACTAATATCTGTCTGACCCATCTCAGCCAGAAAGAATGTCTAACCTTTCTACTCAAGTGTATGTTGAAATGCTGATGTTGAGAATCCCTTTTTTTGACACAATGTAGCGTCTCTGCCCATTTAGACCTAGGGTTCATTGATGAAAACTGCTCCTCTTGATGTTCTCAATGTCCTCTATGTTTGTTACCTCCTTTTTCCAAAGCACCCATACAATTTCGTTAAGGACCCGTGACAATTGGTCTTTACCTTTGATACTGAACATTTCATTTCACTACCTTCAATCCCTGGAAGTTTTATTGATCTTTTATTTCACTTGAAACAAGGAAAGTTGTGGGATTAGATTTGTTGTTGAACACTTGGTTACTGTTGAGAGTGGACAATTAAATGTACCACTTTTATTTCTCATTGTCCCGAACTACGCCACCTATATCAATCAATCAACACATAACTATCTATGAGCTTAACTTCTAGGCCTTGGAATTGTGTAATTTATAACACTTTTGTAACATGCTCAGTGCTCATGTGCCCACATTTCATTGCAAAATGAATTTGCTTTTCCCCCGTAAGTTTTTCACCCTGAAATGATAGCATCAAGGGTATATTAGGACATTAGAGAAGCTGATACTATGTCTTGTAGCTTTGCTTCTTTCAGGTCTGTGTTCTGTAATTTTGACAAGCAGTTCAATTTTTGCTGAAGACTGCATTGTTTTTTTGAAATTTATTTTTCTGCCAGAAGTATGGAAGTGCTAGCTTAGTAATGCCCTAGAAGTGTCAATACAAGGAATATAGTTGTAGATTAGGGATAGTTTTCATAAGTGATTTAGTTTATTCTGATACTGTCACTAAATATAATGGAAGAATTATTACAAATCATGTTGAGAATATTAATAAGTACATATTCTTTGGTTAAAAAATTAGAAGTGGGCTATGTTTGTCAATGGCAAATGGACAGCCCACAATTGGTGAATATCAAAGAGCACACATTATAGACTTGCAAATGATCATCATCATCATGAACTGCAGGATGAAAGGCCTGGGGGTGCTGTTCCTGGTTAAGCAGTAGACCTGAAGTGCTTCAGTCTTCCAGGTGTTCCTGCTTGATCCACTTCATTCTTGGTCTTCCCACCTCTCTCTTTCCAAGTGGCTAAAGATTTTAGGGGAGCCTTTGGGAATTTTCATTCTTTTAATATTTTCTAGTCATGTTTTCTGGTTCTTCCTCTGTTATGTTTGTCGTCTTCAATATTTTCCTTGTGTCTTCATTTCTCGGTGAATCTAGTCAAGTATAGCCAAGGAGGCATCTTAGGAAACTCATTTGAGCTGCTTCCAGTCTTTGGTTCTCTCTTTGTTTTAGTATTTAGGTTTCTGATCCATATTATAGCATTGGTTTGGCTGTCATGTGTATTCTTAATTTGGTTCCTTGTGTCATGTCCTTCCCAAAGTATCTTTTACTTATTCTATTGTATTTCAAAATTTTGTGTTGGAGGTCCTGGGAGTTAAGTCCAATGTCATTGTCTTAACATTTGAATGTTGATACTTGCTCTATTATTTCCCCTTCAATGACTATCTTCACTCTTCTTAGGTCCTTTCCTTGGAATGCCATTGTTGTTTTGTTTTTTGTCATGATATTCATGTCATGGTTCTTTGCTATTTTATTCAGTTCATGTGTTGCTATTTGGAGTTCATCTTCTGATTCAGCCAAAATTATTTGGTCATCGGCAAACAGGACTGTTTGTATAGTTTGTTTTTTGTTAACTTGTATACCTTGATTTGCTGACTTCTTCCATTCTTTGATGAGACTGTTGGCATAAATATTGTAAAATTTGGGTGACAGACCAACATCCTTTCTGCTCCTACTCTTTCTGAATCCACATTGTTCTTCACCCAGGAAGATTTTGTTGTACTTATTCATTCTATTCTTTAATATGTTAACAAATAATTTTGAGGTTGTTGGCAGTAGAGTTATCCCTCTGTAGTTTTGTTGCAGCCTAGTTTTGTTCCTTTCTTATGTGTATTTGTTACCAAAACTATTTGCAATTCTGTTGGGGTAAGATTTTCTGTCCATATTTTGTTAAACAGTTCAATCAAAATCACTTCTAGTTCTTTACCTTCATATTTGATAAGTCCTATGTAATTTCATCTATTCCAGGGCTTCTGTTTTTAGCTTTTTTAAGTACTTGTTCCAGTTCTTCTGTTATTATATCTTCTACAGGTTGATTTTCCAAATCTGAGGTCATGTTTATGTTTGATATGTGGTTGTCATTGTTCCACAATTTTGTATAGTGTTTTATCCACCCTGACTCTTGTGTTAGGTCTATATTCACTTCGTTCCTTGTTTTAGTCCCAAGCATTTGTAGTATTTTAAAGCCAACTCTTTGTTGTCCAGTGATGTCTTACTCTATACACTTTCAACTAAATTCTCAATATACCAACTTTTAATAAAAAAAAATTCTCTATGTAAGTACTTTTCTTTAAATGGCTTTGAAGTGTACTTTTATTGCATTGTAGCTACACATTGGGAGAATGAGAAAAGTAATGGAGAATTCTAAAATGCCATTATAAGTTAGTCAACATTTGAAAAATGAATGTGAATTATTTCTACATATTACTTGACAACATCTCCAAAATGATTTGGCTGAAATTAATCTCAAAATAATTGCTCACAAGACTGAACAGAGTATAGAACGTGCTGTTAGTGTCACTATGTGACTTGCAGACTTCAAGCACGAAGTAAATTGATCCAGCATAGACACAGGCAGGGTCATCCAGAGAGGATAGGGCAGCTGAAGCAACTTGCCACAGGCCCTCTCTTACCTGGGCCCCCAAACAATTTTCACAAAATTTCTCTTCTTGAATTATTCTTTTTTGAAAAGCATCTATTTAACTATAGTTGAAGTATAATTCATTTTAAAATGTATTTATAAAAGGAAATATTGACTGAAATAATGGGCCCTATAGATCTACTGCACCATGCCTCATGTTTTCTCTCGGCTCTGTTGTAAACAAAAATTACTTCATAATAAGGCCTGCTTAGTCACAATCCATACATAGATGAGCAGTTTTAAATTGAACTGTCTAAACATTTGCAGCTGAAAACGATTTTTTCTATTTTCATGCATACTACTTATGTAGTATAGAGAAAGTATTGTAGTGCTCCAGCAGTCAATGGTGATTTTTCAACAGAGATACTTGTATTTGAGGCTCTGACATTGAAAAAGTGGATAAATCATGTTCCTATAAGTAGAAAGTTACTTCCTCTAACATGTGTACTCAGAATCCACATTTTGTTTTGTCCACACTTGATACTGAAATATTGGCTGACGTCAAAACATCTGAGTGCAACCCTAGAACCTAAACGGTTCAGACAATTTACTCCATAAGAGATATTCCTCAGTTAATCTGAATAAACTCTAAACTCAGCAAATTTAGAACAAACTTTATTTTTGTGGGTGCTTAACATAAAGACATTAGTATATATTCAAAACATTCTTAAAAATGGATCCAGTTTTTTAAATTGAGTTTTACATTAAATAGAGCAATATATGCTTAAAAATTGCACAAGTTGCATTTTTGTTCAATGCTCTAAGTATTCAAAACTTGAAGAGTTCAAAATTTTCTCGACACCTTCATACATCTAAATTGTTGAATATATTGTTTTTATTAATGAAATCTGTTCTTCAAAAACTCAGTTTTAAAAATGGTCATATACAATTATTTGAAATCAAGTAGTTGCCACATAATGTTGTATGAAAAATAGGCAATTTTTAAAATATTATTTTCTCATCAAATGCAGCTCAAATGTTTGCCCTACATTTATTCTTGCATAGAACGAAGTATGCTTACAGAAAAGGTGCAGGTCCCATTTTCTGTAAATTTTTTGCATATTTGAAAATTGCAAAAAGTTAACATTCCAAAACTACAGTACTGATGATAGAGATTTTTTCCGTAATAAAGTTTGTTCTTCAAAGGCAGTTCTTTAAATAAGGTCATTTACAATTTTTTGAAAATGTGAGTAATTTTCTCATAATTTTTGCTAATGTTTGAAATTGTATTCAACAATAGCAATGCTTTGACACAGCAGTTCAAAATTCTCAGAATTTATTCTCAATGTTGGGCGGTGTTTCTGGCTGTAAGAAACCGTGATTTGGGTTGTCGAATTGGTGTTGACGTGTTAGCTTTAAAAGAATTAGTTTTCACATCTGATGTTCTCTGATTGGTAATGACTTTAACAAGTGATGTCTGACATGTGTTAAAATGGACAAAAATTGTTGTATTATAATTTATGTTCTGTTACATGCAAGAAAACTTTTGCTGTTGTAGCACCATTAGTTAAATATTAAAATATTTTAAGATAATCTTATTTAAATTAATGAAATACAGCAATAGAAAGCTTTTTTAAGAGGACTTCAGATCTACAACTAGTCTATGCATGAGCATCTACAGAACCAAATTATTATTGTTGGGGAGTTCAATAGACACCGGGGAGTCCGCAAAAATTATGAGAGGGGGGTGTCTCCCTCTGACAGTGATGTCCTCGAGTCTATTTACATACTTAAGCAAATAAATTTAATTATAAATAAAATAGTTGTGTTAGTAATATATATAGTATGAAAATTTGAGAGAGTAATTTTTTTCAGATAGGTAAAACTTGTATACATAGTGACACAAAGAAAAAAGATACTTTGTCTAATTTTAAAATAAAAGAATGCAAAGCAACACAATAATGTTAGATGCGAACGGTAATCATGAAGAAAGATATTACAATTCTTTTAAAATTCTGTAATAAATTTTGGTACATTAATTATTACATTGAATGTTTCATAATGAATTTCATTTTTATATTTGTAATCATTATGTAAAGTTTATCTACATATATGCTTAGAGGAAGTGGAAAATTTAGTGTCTTGTTTCCTAATCCCCTTTTACAACAGGTGACTGCTAACACAGTGTTTTGTTGAACGAATATGTTGCAAAGTAACTGTGAATCCCAAACTTGGATTCCGATGAGCGCTTAGGCGTCGCGGTCTTACCTTTGATGAATAGGTCTTTTCAACTCGGGTTTTCTTTTTGTCTTCAATATTGGATTTTTTTGTACTTCCCTCCTCATTTTTCATTCAACGCTTTGCGCGTTTCATTTGTCTACAAGTTTTTCAAATATTCTTGGCGTGGCGCTCGCGTCGTTGCTGCCGGGCAGGCTGCCGGGTGTTGCGTGGGTGGAGGTGTGTTTCGGTGTGGGCATCGGGCATGTGAGTGTGTTGTGGATCAAGCCGAACCACATTCTGTTAAGAACTGCTTGAATGACATTATAAGTTAAGGATACCAAGTAATAACAATGGCCGATGAAGCTGATCAGGTAAAGTACTATATATTCTCACGTAAAGATGAAATTATTTTCATAATCATTTTTTGCTGGGGCAGTGTGTAGTATTTCTGAAATTCTCTTGTCAGGTACCTGCTATTACAGTAAAAGAACCCTTGGATCTCGTCCGTCTGAGTTTGGACGAAAGAATCTACGTAAAAATGCGAAACGAGAGGGAACTTCGAGGCAGGCTGCACGTAAGTCAACACATAAAAAAATATTGTTATTGGGGCCTTATTTTTGTTATTTGTGGCAATCAAAAAATATAAGAATTGAATCATTGATTCAAAGGAAGCGTGTCACCCTAAACTGAGAATATACTCAATTTTTCTGTAGCATTAGAATTTTTGTATAGAGGAAGCATTTGTATTTAAATTATGCATATTTCATCAGGTGAGGGATAGTATTTCTGTAATGAAACCAGTAATAATTGTACCAGCAATATTGTGTTATTTTGAAGGCTCTTCAGTTGCTAATACACAGGTCAGAGAAATATAGTTTATTGACAGGGATGATATTTTTCTTTCTTATTTTTTCCTTTTCTACACATACTTTTACATACATGTAAATATGACACTAGAAATGTTCATTTAAAATTATGGTAAATGATTTTCTAGACTTGTATTTTGTGTGTCTTATTAACAAATAATACCAAATATTGCAGTGTAGAATGTTCTTACATAAAGGTTACAATAAGATCTTATAAAGCCTTTAATTTTGGCTTTGAAAGTAATGCGTCTAATTACAAATTTTGAATTTATGTCTGTCAAATTTTATCATGTGTAAATATTTGAAGAAATGTAGATTATATCAAGTTTTCAAAATCATTCTGTTTCTGATTGAAGATCAGAAACCGTTATATACAGAAAACAGAAAATATGAAAGAAAAGCAAAAAAATTAAGAAGGAAAGTGAAATATTACTACACAGATTTTTTATGATCAGTGAAGATTCATAAAATTGATATAATTGATCCAACCTTTGAATGCTTTTTTGTCTGTACAAAGCTTAAAATATGAATAAGAAGAAATCTCTTTAATTTATTAAAGGAAGGAATTGAATTTACATAATATCCTCTGTTATCTTTATTTAGTTCTCTTCAGAATAGTTTTTCTATTCCTTTGATTGAAATTAAAGGAAATTTCATTGAGTTTTGTGAGAGTAATACTTCTTTTTCTGGCTAGAAATATTACAATTATTGATAGACCTTTCACTTAGCTGGTCTTCCAGTGATTTTACGTAATATGTAGTTTAAAAATTTCTTTAAATATAATAGTTTATTTAAATATAATTGTTTTGATTATGTAAATTAGCCACTGGTCATTAGTGGATTTGATATCATTTGAGTAATATTCTCCAGGTTTGTGTATGCCAGTAAACTTCAATGGTGACAGTCTTTAAAAGTTTTCACAGATGTGTTGTTTGCTTTTGGTCTCTCCTTTTAAGGGGGCAAGAAAAGTACCGAAATGCAAAAGACATTTTACCTTTTAAGATTTTATAATATGGTGTTTTGGTATTCACCATTTTCCTTGTCCTTTCATTCTGACAAATTTATCTTTTCATTCTGATTAATTAATCTGCTAATATTATTGTTGACTTGGTTTTTGTAAATTTTGTATCAGGCCTATGATCAACACTTGAACATGGTTCTTGGAGAGGCTGAGGAAACAGTTACAACTGTAGAAATAGATGAAGAAACTTATGAAGAAGTCTATAAAACTACAAAACGGAACATTCCCATGCTGTTTGTCAGAGGTGATGGTGTAATACTTGTATCACCACCAATGAGGGCAGGAGTGTAAATTTGGCAGAGGATTGTTTTTATCTCCTTTTTGTTTTTTCTCGTGGATTTCAGTGCAGAAGGTATGATTTTCTTTGAACCACAGATGGAAAATAAAAGTCCATCAAGTAGAAATGTTAAACATATCTTTATTTGTTCTCCCCCTCCTTTTTTTTTCATTTGAATTTTGTTTTCTGTGTTTGTTTTCTCAATACATCAAGTCAAGAAAGAGCTGTATGTAGAAATTTAGTTGAAATTAGGAATTCATTTTGATAGAGGGGCTGTTTGGTTGAGAAGCCACTGGTAGACATCAGTGAGGCCTTGCTCTAGCATTTCTTTTCCTACTTCTGATCGAATTCGTGTATGATAGTCATTAAGCCACACCAGCTGAAATGAGAAAAATTGTTAATGAAAAGTAATAAAACCATTTTTTTCATTACAAACATATGTTTTATTGCATTGTACTTACCTCTTTGTCACTAAGTACATTGATGTCAATCAAATTTCTGTCATACGGAACTAGCGTAACCGCTTCGAATTTCAGAAAGTTTTTACCTTCAAACTGAAAAGCAAAATACATAATTTTTGTAGTAATTAATTTATGTAATCAAATTCATTATAAATTAAATGCATCTCTTATTTTTCTTACCGACATATTAGTTGGAACAACTGTGACAATGTTTTCCAATCTCATTCCAAATTCACTGTCTTGGTAATAACCAGGTTCTGGAAAAATTGTGTTATATTAATGAAGTACAAAAGAAAAATTAATTAAAAATATTAGCACTACTGCACAGTACCTTGAGATCCAAAGAAGTAAGCATGATAAGTTGTATCAAATGCTGGAAAGAAAAAGAAATTAAGTGGTTCATTAATGGTCTATACTTTATTGTTTTGACAATGTCAATTGAATTTAGTGTGCTTTAGTAAAATAACCTCCACCCAGAATATGAGAGTACTTTTATGTAGGCTGCTTTTTTATTGCAGTTCGATTTCTTACAAAAGAAATGGGAGGTTCAGCAACTTGCTTCAAACCGTTATCAACAGCATTTGTCTTAAAATAGCAGATTTTGAATGACAGTAGAATTTATCTACTTTAAAATTATTGTATGTATTGGTAAATTAGTAACAAACTAATTGTTAAATAAATTTTGAAGTAAAATTTAATTATGTAATACAAATATTTTTATTGACAATAATAATTATAATTTTACTCGAAATCTATTCTAACTCATCTGGGTTTCTTTCAACTTGCAATATTTGTAATTTCTAGCTTTACCTAAAAGTTTTGATCCACATGCACATGCAAGTTTTATTCAGAATTTAGTGGCATTCAGCATGCTGATCACAAATCATGTGTTAAGAAAGCTGCCCATCTCTGACCTTTTGTGACTGGCAGTTTGTTGAAAATAGAATAAAGACCTGTACTAGGAAAACAGACCCTCTTACCTTCATGAACTCCCAGAAAAGAGCCTATACCGTGAGTACTGCCATGCCCATAATTCAAACCCATGCTGTACAAAGGTGCTCGGATAAGGATTTCCAAAGTATTTAATGTCTGGCCTTCAGGAAACGTGGTAGAGACAATATCAATGCATCCTCTAAGTATATTAGTGTACACTTCTTTCTGCTTTGGTGAAGGAGTGCCCAAATGAATTGTCCTTGTCACATCCGTGGTACCATCTACAACAATTTAAGAAAAGAAGTTCATCTTATACAAATACATATTGGTTTACTTTTTGGTTGCCTATGAGAAGGAAAAAGAAAGAAATATTATTGTGTATAATATTAAACAGTTACACTATTTGTTAATATATTGAATACAATAAAGAGAGAAAATGGAATCAAGGATTTTGAATATGTACAAATACTAGGTTCTAAATGCCAACAATCAATAGAACTAATTTGGTGACATGTTCATTACCAACTGGACCAATGAATGACTTCTTTAACATATGGACATAGACTATTCACTTATGTTTTGCTTTATGTCAAATTCACAATTTTTCTTATTTCTAGAAAGAAAGAAAAAAAAGGATGATATTGCTACAAATATTGAAGTTTTCTTCCCTGCCGCTGTGATTTTGAAATTCTAAGAAATACCTGTACTACATTTCTAGTGTACATTTATAAGAAATGCATATTTATGTAGTAATCTACTTATACTACCTAAAAAATTGTGTGTAAATATGTGATTAGTATAAATATTTATTTTAACACACGCTAAACTTGTTATGAAGTGTAAATCATGAGTGTTCTTTTCTAACAGAACTGATTCATAATCATAGTTCTTACCCAAGTACTGGCCCCCTGAGTCCAACATAAAGACACTGGAATTGTCAATGACTTTGTTAGTTTCTAATGTAACTGTGTAGTGAGGTAAGGCAGCATTGTCAGCAAAGGCAGCAATTGTTTCAAAACTTGGCCCTTCATTGTCCTTTTGCAGGCTGCGGAGCTTAGCAAGTCTGTCTTCCACTTTGAGTTCATCCCAGTATTCACCTGCTGCTATCTATGGGACAGAAAGTTCCTTCCCTTGAAAACCATCAGGGATGTTAGATGTTACGAGGCATGGTATTATATTATCAGTTATGAATGCTTCAGGCAGCTATGTTTATGTTTTATTTTAAGTGATGAAACACAGGAAGACATAGTCTTTTATATAAATACATCTTCCAAAAACTGAAAACACAATTAATACAAGGGGACTCTGTGAAGTACTGAAGAAAATGCTTTCTGGAGAATGTGTTTGTGTGTGCTTGGACACAGTGCAACCCTATTTATGCAACTAATGGGAAAAACATGACTTGAGTATTCCTGAATTATTTGTGTATCTTCCTGAATCATATAATGTAGGTTCTTTAACTTTTTTTACTTAACAGGAAAGATAGTCTTACAACTTTCAAAAAGACCTTGAATACCAGGCTTTATATTTCATTTTGAAAATGAAAATCTCAATTCAATTTTACTTACCCCTTTCTCCAATTCATAGAGCAACTGACACAGAGCAATAGCATCTTTCACATGGGCCCACCTCATACCGTCTGCTTCTACTTTATTTTTCCTGTCTTTCATTAGCAGCAACGGCGATGTGCCAAATATTACCTCTTTGGCAGATAACTGTGCATGAGTGAAGGTGGTAACTGAATTAATAAATCAAGATCCCCACCTTGAACATGTCTCTAATTCTATCAGAATACTCACCGCACTGTAGACGAGCATACTGACTCCTAACGCATAACTGTATTGAGAAGGCAAAAGCACTTTCTTTGCAGACTTCCCAATTTCAGGCAGGTCTTCCCAAATTGAATTGTAAGTCTTTATCCTTAAAAAACCAAACAAAAGAAGAAATGTTAATATACTAAAGTTCTTTGTTTAGCATAGTTTATTTTTTATTTTAAATTTTATTTTACATCATAAACAGTTACAAGCTGTGTGTCATGCTATGGGGAGTAGTGTATTCTGTGCAGGTTTTGTAATTCTGGGATCCCTACCCTAAACCATATGAAAGTTGTATTCTGAATACAGGAAGAAACAAGTGTTTTCCCTGTGTACAAAAAACCTGCACATTGCGCTCTCCAAATATCACTGGGGAAGGGAGTTTGAGTTCCAGGGCCCTGCAAAATGTAGGTTTTTAAAAGGTACAAAAGGTAGGTTACATTTTTGTTATTTGATGAGAACTTTAAAAAATGTGCCAGGTGTTGCTTCATGTTACATTTAATCAATTTTTCTCATCTCTGAATTTCTGATCTCTGAATTTCTTGAGGATAAGCCTTATCGCATGTAGCTATCCTTTACATTGCAATGCTTGCGTCTTGTAACCAGGGTCATGAACGCCCCTGGCAAGATTTGAATTTTGCGTCCCCAAGACTTATTTTCTAGGGAGAGAAACAATACAATAACTTCAAAAGTCTAAATTATATTTAAGTTATTTATACATTTAAGAATAAAATTAGTTTTTACTTTCTATTATTTAGGAAGAGAAACAATATAATAGTTCATTTATGCATTACATTATCTCTTAAAAGTTTATTTTTCCGCCTTTTTTTCTGAGGCCAATTTGTCAATCATATGGTCTACATTACTAATTTTTGCAATGTCATACACAGTCAACAGTATGGTAAGATTACTCAAGCGTTCTTGACCAATCTGTTATTGTAAATACTTTTACTTTCCAGTATACATATGTATATATACATAGTATATGAAAAGTTACACTGAAAAAAAAAGAACCGTTGGAGTATACCAGATACATGATACTGTAACGGAAACTTGCTACAGCATTTTTGGCAGAAAAAAAAATCATTACCGGGCCCTGATAACGAAAAAGTGGATAAATCCATTTGCTAAATTAAGAAAAATCAAATCATCTAATATATGGATTGGCCAGAACTCCTGGTATGTTCTCGATACCGATAAATCGATTGACGGCAAAACGTCCGACTGCCTGGTGAATGTGATCAACACTAACGCCTAAACCATACGTATGATTTTTTCCAAACTGAATAAACCCCTGTTGATTTGGTGTGAGTCAACGCTCTGCGATTTTGAAACACATTCATTAATTTTTGGGGGTACATTACATGAAGCTTCACGGTCATTTTCAAACTTTCCTCAAAAACAGCTCCATTTTTTTTAAAATTATCATACAAAAATAAAGAATACACTTATAAAGGTGGCATATGTCAGATGTTCACGGTTCACTCTGAATTTTCGAAAATTGCAAAAATTCATTTTTTTGCAGCGCCTTCTTACAACTACAAAATTGAAGATATAATATTTTCCTTCAAATACAATTTGTTCCCCGTAGTGAGTTCTTTCATTGAGGACACGCGCATTTGAGCAAAATAAGAGCAATTTTAGAAAATTACAAAAACAGATTTTCTCAAAAACGGTTCCAATTTTTTTTAACTTTTTGGTGGGGATAGTGCTAAACGTACTCTATAAAATGACCAAAGCCGTATTGCTTTATTCTTTTGTGTTGTTTTTTTCAAAGTTACAAAAATGTATTTTTTTTTTATTTGTCTCTCACGTCGTTAATATTTATATTAGAGACGATTTGTTCACATAATTATATTTATTAGTTTATGAGCTTTAAATAATGTTAGATAAATTTTCTTGAATACACAACATTTTTTGTTAAAACTAGCTCAAACTCCCGCATTTTCAGAAACACTCTAATTTGGGGTCATTTTCTCAAAAACGGCTCCAAATTTTTTCTTCAAACTTTTCGTACGGACAGTGATAATTGCACGTTAATTTCGTGGCATTTTTTCCTTCAAAACTACACAAATAGTTTTTTGAAAGACCTCTCCCGCTGTTAATATGCACAATTCCAGCAATTTGTAAGCACCGTTGTATTTGTGAGTAAATGGCTTCTAATGAAGTTTTTCGAAAATTGAAAAAAATTCTGTGAAAAAAAGCTTCAAATTTCGAATTTACAGTAGTGCTTAAACACCATTTTCTTAAAAACGACTCCAAATTTCTGAAAGGAAATTACCATTTAGGACGAGGTTTTACTTATTTAATATTCTTAAAATAATATTTCCGTTATACACCAAGGAAACCGAAAAATTAATAAAATGTACTTTGGGCGGCAATAGATGGCAGCTGGCAATAGTATGTGGCAAGTCCGAGTAGCTAACCGAGACCAAAGGAAATAGAAAACTAATACGGAAAAGTCTGCGTCATCATGTTGCTGAAAGATCTTTCACAGCTGGCGAAAGTCACAGATAGTGTGAATTCTAGGCTAAGGGCAATGCATATCCTGGGATAACTGGTTACTAAGCCATATTCTTCATGGCAATTAAGAAGCGCAGTGTAATCTGTATTTTTTAAATAAGGCAAAAATGATTTTATTTAGTGTTTGCTGCTTTCAATCTGGAAACAGAACTCGTGACATGTTAAGCATTTTAACGGTTACCATAAAATCTCATAATTAATGCGAACATTTAAGACATTACTGCGATAGTAACCAAATGAATTCTGTTTCTGCGGGAGGTTACTACGATGTTCGGTAAGAAAGTTGCAGTGGCGACTTCCTCAGATCGTCAGTAAATATGATTACTGGAAAAGTGTTTCATTTAGTGGAAAGCCAGGAAAATAAGGTTAATTTAACTAGTACACATTTTTTAAAATTGCACTATTAATATTACTATTTACAATAATTATTCGCAAAACTAAAATGAGTTATTTTTATTCTGAATTGTTTGAATATGATTTGTTTTGTACATCGCCAAGTTTTTCTATTACACATTCGACATGCGTTGGTTGTTTATTTACTTTGCTAAGGATGTTAAATTTCTTAATATACATGTAGGCACAAGTGCACTTAACAAATCTGTAGTAAAATCTGTATTGTGTAATTGTGGGGAGGTAGAGGTACACGGAAGAGTCAACCACCATTTTCTCGCACATGTCAAATACCCGAGACATCACAAGAAACTTGTTTCACAAAATCCAGTTTGATTCTATTATAAATTTATAATGCTGTTACACAAAAAACATCTCAAAGCAACTCGATTATAATGTTGCAATATTACATTCGTACAAACTTGAAAACTCGCTTTTAAAGTCGCTCGTTTTCAAAACATGTACTCATGCAATAAGGTTTAATATTATAAACTAATTGCATTACCAAGTATTCTATCCGCCCCTGGGGCAGGCTCGGATCCACGGGGAAGGAAATGAGGGAAATTCCCCTCCCCCTAAAATTGTTCAAATCCACCAAATCAGTAACTTGCCATATTGGACGAAAACATTTTGAATTTCCCCTCCCAAAATTCGTCTCTGGATCCGCCCCCCGGGGGAGGGGGGGCGAGAAGGCTTGCTCGAAAAACAAAAAAGAAAAGCGCTTGCGTACTTGACGACCTGCGTGCTGGCATTGAGGTGGGCCTCGGCCTGCGGGATCTTCTCCTCGGGCAGGTACAGGGCGGCCCGGTCCAGCGTGACGACGAGGTAGGCGCGGAAGACCGGCGTGAAGGGCACGTCGCCGCCGCGCAGGTTGAGCGCCCACGCGATCTCGTCGAGGGCTGTCACCACCGTCGCGTCGGCGCCCTTGGCGCGCAGCTCGGCGCGCAGGCGCTCCAGCTTCGACTCCCACGACTCCCCTGCGCACGATGGCCTTCTTTTTTTTGGGGGGGGGGGCGACGAAAGCACACTAGCCCCGTGGCCTTTAGTTGGAGTAACCCTCCGTTAGAAGCGCTAGTCGTAGTCGCAGTCAAGTCAGGGAATCGCCGACAGGTAGCGTCTTCGCGCTCGCGTCTCGCACGCGCCCTGCTTCGTCTACCCGTCGGCCAGAATTGCGAAGGAATAGAGATAGACTCATGTATTCACAATGCCTGACATAAACGTAAGCAAAATAAGTTTCTATTGGCTGTGAGACATTCTGGGTTACTATTGGTTGGATGTGAGAATCGATTTTGAGGTATCGACTGTCTCCATGGCCCATATGAGTTTAGTTCGTCTGTCGAATTCGATTTTCGATTTTGAGTTAAAGTACGTGGATGGGTTAATTTCTTATATCTTACTTAAGCTAACGTCTTACGTGTTATGCTTAGGCGAACGCATTGTCAATGAGTCCGCTTATGGTCGTAGTCCTAACTTTTACATTAACGCCAAGCTCTTGTTTATGTTTGCATTGTGAATGGGCCTTTATGGGCTTTAATGGAGTAATCCTCCGTTGCAAGTACCCTCTAGGGGCCGCTGAGTAGTCGTAGTCTCGTGAGTCGCAGTGAAGTCAGGGAATCGCCGACAGGTAGCGTCTTCGCGCTCGCATCTCGCATGAGCCTTGCGTCATCTACCCGTCGGCCAGAATTGGGAAGGAATAAGGATAGGAGTAAACATTAGGATGCTTCACAGGGGGTAACAAATTTCACATGGGGTGAAACGGGGGTTCTACGGGAATCGAACCCGGAACCAAGCGACTTTGCCCTGAGCCAGGGTTCATTGATTTATGTTTTCGGGTGGGTCAATACATGCTGAGGTCATTAATCCAGTATTTTTGGACCTGCTTCATTTTGATATGCGAACGACGGACTATTTGAGCGCATTAAAGAAAAACGTGGAGCCGTTTTTGAGAAAATCTTGTTAAAATTATATATTTTTTTCACGCTACCTTACTAACATTTTGAAAAAAAAGAACATAAACTCTTGTAATGATCTAATTTTGAAGAACAGATTTTATTCATGGGATAGTATCTATCTGCAATACTGTAGCTGTAGGAAGACTCCTAAAACATTTTGAACTTCTGCAATTTGTAAAAATCCAGAGAATTTGTTCGAAAAGCGAACCTGCGCCATTCTTTTAAGGGTACTTTGATCGATCCGAGAAAACAATTGGAGAAATTTTTCAAAATTTTGTGTAAAGTATACCGCAAGATCAAAATATCCTATTCTAATTCAACGGGCCGTCACATCAGCCAGATCGATCAGGGAATATCAATTTTGGTGGAAATCCTGCCTACGGTTTAGCTTATGACGTTCACGGACGAAAGGACAAACCTGTTATCGTAAACCAATTTTTCGGTAGCAAGGATCCACCAAACGTGGGTTCTGACTACACAACGAGTTAGAGGTAATTTACTAAATACACCAAGACATGTTTTCAGTGTAAGAGACATACAAACAATTTTTTTTGTCAAAAATTGACAAAACTTTATTATTATTTTACTGCAGCATTACAATTATTTACATATACTATCTAAGTAGTATGCAATAAAATACTGTAGAATTTATTTTTTGCAATTTTCGAAAATACAGAATGTCTGCAAAAAATAGAACTGGCACCGATTTTTACACCGCTCTTTGATAAATACGAGAAGAAAATGTTAAGAAAAAAATTGTAGTCTTTTTTGAAAAAAATAAATAAATTCGAAGTAAAAACTAACTCGCCGACCGCGAGTGATTTTGCACGTGTTTCATAATATGAAATACTCGCAGTAAAAGTGAACACAGATTTATCGATAGTTGTGCGATTTCTCTGTATTCTACGGGATAAAACCAAAAAACTACATTTTTTAAAATTTTTCATTAACGATAATAGCATATTGACCAATAAATAGGAGAATAAGGAACATTTAGTCATTTAAACACAAAATAAGCATTTATAGGCACTACAAAATTCGTATATAATACTCCTAAACCCTCAAAATTAATAAGTAACTTAAGATATTGCGTTTTCCATTAAAAGAAAAATAGGCAAGTAGGTAAAACCCGAAGCGCAGTCATCATTGACCTCCTTGAAGATTTCATAGACCTCCAAGGGGGGAGGGTGACCCTATCGAAAACCCCTGCGCTAGGGTTCTATGTTTGAGGGTGCAACGTCTTGTACGAGAACACACTGAATGTGAAGGCCCGTGGGCCCTGAGAAAGGCCGATGATGATGGAATGGCTGGCCGGTGCCTTGGCGGTCGCCCCCACCCCCAGCCACCGAAGTGACTCAGGGCGTCAATATTAATGTCTCTGACCGAGAGGTCTTAGGATTCCACTCCCGAAGGTGGCAGGATTTTAACACTTGCTAGATACCTAGGTCGAATTCAGCCGCTGTTCTAACAGCCGGCTGCTCTGGTGGGTGGTTTTCTGCAATCAAAACTGGAGCAGTGCTCCAACTAACGATCCACGATCCATACATAAATGTCGGGAGTTCGGTCGGGAACGTAGAGGCGGTCAGGCTGGGGTGGTGTCCCGCTGGTGGGAGAGGGAGGGAGACGTGGTTGAGGGAAAACCCAAAGAGCCGAAGTATAGGTCGGCGCTGGATCTTGCCATTCAGCGGGAGAATATCATCGCCACGTCCAGCAGTAAAACATACACTACATTTACGGGACTCTTGGGCATAGCAGTTGAATCAATCAATCACCCTGCCATCTAAGCAGTGGTTCCCCCTAGAACCCGTCAGGTTAGGAGATAAAAAGGCATATACGATATGATGACTGTACGACAGAAGGATTAGGCAGTGCGATGTATAAAATAAATATAAATACTACACAACCAACCTGCAAATTTGATGTCAAGTACTGATAGTGGCACATCAGGATATGGTGGTCGACCATTTTCTTCCCAGATTGGGTCAACTAAATTCTCTTCAAGCAGAACCATATTTATGCCAGATGAAGCTAAAATAAAATTAGGGTCGAAATCAATATTATTTAACAACAAAGAATTGTTTTTCTTTCTTTACAAATTAACGGTTTTTCTACCTAAAGTAGTGTTCCATGTATTCCACGTTGAATAAGGGACTACTTTTGGATCAGTAGAAACATTAGAGCCTGATGGTAAATTGGCTGAAATCCATGGCAATAATCCAGGAACCTGAAAAAAAATTAAAACTGCAATAATATCACAACGTAATTTAATATTTATTTATTAATATAGCATCATGCCGGGGTTCCAGTTACCGCCTGGGTGACTAAGGAGAAGCAACAGCTTTGCCGCCTTTCAAAATTTTACTTCTTAAAATTGAATTATTCAAGTGAAGGCATCATCACTGGTGATATCTAAAATATTTTCTTTTTTGTCAACAGAAGAAAAGTGAGACTAAAAATATCGTATTTGTAGTAGTAAAATGTCATAAAAATAGTTCACACGACATCCGATAAACACTTGGCGAAAAGTGTTATTAATATATACGATTCCGTCCAAAATAAAACTGTTCTTTTGCAAAATGAAAATTTTGAGATGTTTTTTGTGCACCGTCATCATATAGTTCTCCTTTCAAATTCGAACTGCTTGCGATGCTTGCAGCTACACTCTTTCTTCATCGGTGTTGTATCTGCGTTGCTATTCTTATTTTGGTATTGTCGCCATACTATTTTGGTACTGTCACCTAAGTATCACCCTATCCTACGTATGATATACGTGTGATATTAGTACGATAGGTGACGAAGTCAAAGATAACCAATATACGTCCTTAAAGATAGTGCTATCTTATTACCCGTACGAAACAAAATTTTAAGTGCTTTGGCGCACGTGCAAAATTTATGAAACTAGAGTCAACAGAATGACTTAATAGCTCTAGGTTATCGGCATTAGCCTTGTACCAGAAGTAAGAGTTTGAGTTCCCTCACGGCATGGGTTTAATCTCTTATCCTCTAAAACCATATCCTACTTTTAACAAGAATATACTACCTAGTGTTACTCGCAATTTATGACCTGATGAACTATCGTGATAATTCTTATACTACTAAAAACATGCTATTATTTAGACTCACTTCTCTTCGTCTAACTAAAAATCGTCGAAGTTTTAGATGACACTTGTCTTGTATACCGACGATACGCCCTTCACAACCACAATCCCTCCTCCACCCGCTCTTCTTCGCACACGCTGCTCCGTACGCTCCATCCATGCCTCGGCTCGTCCGCTCATGCTCCCTCCCCATGCTCCTCCCCTACGCTCCTCCCCCGACGCCCTCCCCCCACGCTCCCTCCGCCACGCTCTCCACGCGCCAGCTCAACTCCCCCAACGCTACCTCCGCCACGCCTCCCTCCGCTCACGGCTCCTCCTCCGCCTACGCTCCCATCCATCCTCGCTCCCCTCCGCTCATGCTCCTCCTCCCATGCTCCTCCCGCCTACGCTTCCTCCCCCACGCTCTCCGCCCCTGCTCCGCACGCCACGTCCCTCCCCCACGCTCCTCCGTCACGCCCCCCTCGCCTCGCTCACATCCATGCTCGCTCCCTCGCTCATGCTCCCTCCTCCCTGCCCCTCCCCCTACGGCTCCCTCCCCCCCACGCTCACCTCCGCCCACGCTCCGCATGGCCCACGTCCACGCCCACGCTCCCACGCCCACGCTCTCTCTCCCACGCTCCTCCGCTCACGCTTCCTCCGCTCACGCTCCTCCCTGCGCTACGCTCATCCATCCTCGCTCCCTCCGCTCATGCTCCTGCGCCCAGCTCCCTCCCCCCAGCCTCCTCCCTCCGCCTAACGCTCCATCCATGCCTCGCTTCCCCCGCTCAATGCTCCTCCGCCCATGCTCCTGCGGCCCCCTACGCTCCCTCCCCGCCACGGCTCCCTCCGCCACGCTCCACCGCCCACGCGTCCCTCCCCACGCTCCTCCGCTCACGCTCCTCCCTCCGCCTACGCCTCCATCGCATCTCGCTCCTCCGCGCTCATTGCTCCTCGCGCCACGCTCCTCCCCTCGCTCCTTTCCGCTCCACGACTCCCTCGCTCCGCCTACGCTCCATGTCCTCGCTCCTCCGCTTCATGCTCCCTGGTCGTCCATGGCTCCCTCCCCCTACGCTCCCTCCCCCGCTCCCTCCGCCCACGCTCCGCTCCGCCCACGCTCCCTCCTCCGCCTACGTCCTCCCCCCGCCCCTCCTCCTACCTGCTCCGCCCCACGCTTCACCCTCCGCCCAACGCGTTCCTCCCGCCCACGCTCCTCGCCACGCTCCTCCGCATGGCCCCCGGCTCAGCACGGCAGAGTATATATATATAACTATTTCCATAAAATTATAAATTAATTTGGGGCATGTTTCTGGACCTAAATCTTATAAATCACGTAGTGTACTATACAATCAATTCGCTTCCCTGACTATTGTTATTGTTATTGTTATTATGGTAGTTGGTGTTGTTCTTTAGACAGTTTAACTCGTAAGTAAGAATGCAATGGCGTCTCACCCCCGGGAGCCCGCTGCGCATGAGCAGCCAGTTGCAGTCGAGCTGGCGCTCGGCCTGCAGGTAGTAGCGGCTGTCGGTCCAGAGCGCGGCGGCGTCCAGCGTGACGACGGCGTCGCCGGCGCTGCCGCTGAAGCCGCTGAGGAACTCGCGCCGCTTGTCGTGCTCCGCCACGTACTCGCTCTGGTGGTCGTCGCCCGACGGCACGTAGTACGCCTGCCCACACACTCCACGTCACTTCATCCCCCTCTCTCTCTCTCTCTTCACCTCTCTCCATCCCTCTCCACCTCTGTCTCTCTCTCTCTTCACCACTCTCTCCCTCGCTCCTTCTCAATCTCTCGTTCTCTCTCTCGCTCTCTCTGCTTCACTCGGCCTCTCTTTCGCTCTCGTTCTCTCTCTATCGCTCTCACTCTCGTTGTTACTGTCGTTCTCACTCTCTCTCTCTCTCTCTCTCTCTCTCTCTCTCTCTCTCTCTCTCTCGAGAGAGAGAGAGAGGGACATTATTTACTTTTGACGAAACAACAGAAAAAAGAAATAGTGGTGCTAAAACTACCCTACTTTGAAGCAAAATTACACGGAAAGTACTGCAATTTTCGAAAAATTGACCGTTTTAAAAAATTTATCTTTAAGGAACAGATTTGATCTGAAAGAAATCTCTGCCCTGAATATTTTAGCTGTAGGAAGACTCCGAAAATAATTTAAACTTTTTCAATTTTCGAAACATCAGGGTTTTTTTACAAAATTGACACCTGCATCATTCTCTTAAACGTCCTTTACACTGTTCAACAACAAACTGAAATCAAATCCTTTTTTATTCTAAAAGCGTTCCAGATGCTTCATGCAAAGTAACCACTAAAATTAAAATATCGGTTTTAACTTCGAGGGGCGATGACATCAGCCAGATCGAGTGGAGAATTTTAATTAATAATAAAATAATTAATTTTTTGGAGAAACGCGGCTCCTCTGTTTGGCTGCTAGTGTTGTTCTCAAGACGGTCGGACAGATAGTTTAGCGTCATTCGATTTTTACTTTCTCGCTACGGAGTAGAGAGAAAGTTATGTAATGCGAAAATGCGGTGAATTTTCTGCAGAAAACTCTTATTTCAGAGCCCTGGTACATGTACATGAATTGAGTTGTAAGTTTAGAAAAGAAATCCGTTAACATGTGGTGTGGCCAGAATCCATCTTTTGTGGGTCCTTGATTCTGAAAAATCGAATGACGGTAAAACGTCTGTCCGTCTGTCTATCGGCTAAAATGTTCAGCCGATTTTCTCCAAAATTGATATTCCTCAATGATTATGGCTACACAACGTTTTAAGAGGATTTTCACCCTGTGTTTATCAACTTTATTTATTCACTTTTTTTTTTACCAGGGCTCTGTATTAAGAGTTTTCTGCCGAAAATACTCCGATTTTTCCTGCAGCATTACATTACTATCTCTGTACTGCGTAAGCGGTAGCGAGGAAGTAAAAAGACATCCAAAACAAGACTCAGGATGGTTCTCATTCCCCACAAATTCACGTAATACAGTGAAGAAATACTGCGCAATGGCGACATCTACAGCCAACTGAAGTGGCTCAGGGCATCAACCGATGTCATTGCGGTGCTTCTGACCGGGAGGACGTAGGATCCGAGTCCCGAGGGCTTCAGAATTGTCGACACTAGCTTGTCAGGTGGGTCATATTCAGGCGCTATCTGGAGGAGAATTCCAGCGACCTTCTGCTCTAATCGGCCTCTTTCAGTTGTTTCCCTGATCATCATCAGGTGAATGCTCGAACAACAGTCTAACCAACGGCCACCTGCGATCTTTCTTTCCTCTTCCTTGTCCTATTCCCAACACTTGTTTACACACACACACACACACATTATCTACACTGCAAGATAAGACGGAAAATCAGTCTGAAGCTTAGTTTCTCCCAGCCGCGGCGGTACCTCACGAATGGGAACCGGTGGGTAAAACCCCGCAAGCCGATGTGTAGGTCGGCGGTGGAGGTCACGATCCAGTAGCAGATGAAGAACACCACTTCCCGACATATAAATATGCACTATACGTACGGGATCATATCAGTTGGCGACACGGAAACACGAAAAAATGAATCAAGCCGAGAGAAAAATACTGTATAAGACCATTAGTTCCATCTGCAGAGGGTTTATAAACTCGATGCACTCGCCGAATTCATCACTCTTGTACAAGGTCGGCAAAAAGTCCTCCCGTATTTGAAAAGGTATCTCCCCCAGCGAGGCACCTTCCCACCCGGAAGAGGTTCTAAGCTTCTGATTGGTCTTCTGATAATGAAGCGCATGTCAGAGTAACTGTACGAATAAGGGAAGAGAATACAGATATAGAGGAAGGAAAGATCGCGCGCGGCCCATGTCCTGTTTGTTGCTCAGGTACAAATACAGGAAATGACGAGAAACCGTTTCTACGATCAATATCGATCTGATCAGTCGTTCGCTAGAGGTTTCCTATAGACAACGGCGGCTGAACTCGACCCAGCTACAAAGCTAGTGTTGAAAGTACGCCACCATCGGGACTCGAACAATAGGGCTGTCCAGACGGAGCCATTGAAGAGACAATAGGAAGTTTTAGCGCCATGCGTAAGGAGATATCCTTAAACTCTATTGATCACGTGACTAACGCCTTCATAAGGTCGTAATGAACAACGTTCATAAGAGTTTTAGCAATTGCTACGTTGCGTTATGCATTATAACAAAGGAAGCATGTCAAGCGTTGAACAGAGAAATTGCATAATATATCAAAGAGTGTAGGCTAGTGGTGAGATATTTAAAACACGTTACGAGTCAACAGACCAGCAAATACACATTGTGCATAGAGGTTTAGATTTTGAATCTGCTTTTCTTGAAAATATAGGAAGTACCTTAAAACAGTGTTCGTTATGAGCATAAGACATACCCTATCCCGAAGATATGATTTGAACTTCTTTTTCGCGAATTTCTTTCCTGTCACCTCTCCAACATATCCCGTTAATTTTTGTCAGCGTTGTGGAGTTCGTAAGGAATAATTGTAACTGCCTTACATACGAGAATTGGTTTATTAGAGTTGGAAAAAACAACTTTTCCTGTTTTTAGGCGGCCATTTTGCCGCTTGTAAGGTGCCCGTAGAGACTCCCACAGGCGTGCACTATTTATGAAGGTATAAGGTCGTACCATGGGCCTAAGGTAAGACGTTATGACTTCAAGGTCCGTCACGTGACTATTAGTGCATAACGCCGCTACCTTACGCGTGGCGCTAAAACTCCCAATGAATGGTAAAACTCTCCATAGCCCTGTGGACTACACGCAACTCGGAGTAAATACATTACAAACTTCCTGGGCACATGGTCGGGTCAAAGGAAATAACTTTGTGCCAATGAACACACGTTGCGAAATTTGTTACAACGAAGTTGCGTATGTGACATTTGTCCCCTGATTGTTAGGCAACTCCTCATACACTACTGTTCTGCGGGTGAAGTTTGGTCGCAGTTGAATGGAATCCATGAAAGAGGAGATGCCTAACAATAAGGTAAAACTGTAAAAGAGTTCTGGAAGGTGCCAGAGAAATTGAAATCCTTCCGGCAACTTCCAGTTCTAAAAAAAAGCTCATGCCTTTCAGAGATTTCGGATGTAGTTAATAGAGACCGAAACAGGTGTCGAAAATCCCCACCGTCGAGACTCGAATCATAGAACCTCCAGGTCAGCGTCGCTGCAGGGACACCGCTATAAAAAAATTGGCGTGTCTGGCCAATGAGCCTGTGGGGGAAAAATTCATGTAACGAAGTTGCACTGTGGCATTTGACCCTGATAGTTAGTCAACTTATCATGCACTAGTGTTCTGTGGGTCACGTTTTGACTCAATCGAATATTTTTTGTGTGGCTTCAAAACACCGCTGAATGCGTAGTTGCTTAATTATCATGGGACAAATGTAACATGTGTAATTTCGTTATATGAAATTTCTCAACAACTAGTTGTGGGCTAAAATTGAAAATTGAAATATTTTTGACCGACTAGAAGGTTGTAATGTTCCGACTGAATTCTCATACTTAAAACCCCACCGCTTACATGAAGATGAAAAAGAGGAAGAAGAAGAAGAAAAAGAAGAAAGAGAAGAAGAGGAAGAAAACGATGGTGAAGACGAAGGAGAGAAAGGCGATAAAGATGGCGAAGAAGAGGAAGAAGGAGAAGTTAAAGAAGAAGAGGAAGAAGATTAAGGCGAAGAAGATGATGAAGAGGAAGGAGATGAAAAAGATGAAGAAGAAGAAATGAAGAGGAAGAACGAGATGAAGAAAAGCAAGGAGAGAAAGAAGGAGATGAAGAATAAGATGAAAAGGAATATGAAGAAGATGATGATGATAAAGAGGAGGAGGAGGAGGAGGAGAGGGCGCGTGCAGTAAGTACCTGTATGCCTCGGCGGCGCATCTCGGCGCGCAGGGCGGCCAGGCGGGCGGTGGTGTCCACCGAGGAGCCGCTCTTCGCCTTGCGCTCTTCGCCCACGCACTGCGCCCTCTCGCCCGTCTCCGCCTGCGCCTCCGCCCCCGCCGCCCGCACCTGCGCCGCCTCCGTCGTCACCGCAGCCGCGGCCGCCCGCTCGTCCCGCACGGGCCCCGCCGCCACCGCCGCCGCACACGCTGCTCAAACAAACAATTACTCACATCTTCAAAAGAATGTGCACGACAATTTTTAGAGATCTAAATTCGCTCCAAGAACATATTCCATTAAAAAACAGTCTCTTACTTATTTTAGTTACTGGAATACACCGAAAAAATTAAACTTTCCGAATTTTCGAAAATTTAGAGGTTTCAATGAAAATTGCGTCGTTTTATAAGTGAACTTCACTCTATTCCAGCAAAATTGATATCATTAAAAAATGGGAAATGTTCCTGGGGTTTTGTGCAGTTCTAAAAATGAAAGGATCCGTTGTGAATCCGAGGGGTCGCAACATCGGACAAATTGATAAAGTATACTCAATTTGGTGACAACTCTAAGAACAGATTAGGGGCTAGAGTTAACAGACATATGACAGACTTTTTGAATATTTATTGACGCATGGACTCTCGAAAAAAAAATTCCGTTAAAATCTTGATATCGAATTTTATTCGCAGTGTTATACCCCTGTATATACTACGTATAAGGGGAAATGGAATCTTTAGGAAAAGTTATTTTCGAAGAACGGAAAAAAGGAATATACTAAGAAGTTGTATGGAATGTATCATATTCTCATCATTAGACAGATTTATGTCGGGCGATCATTCGAATCTGCCGCGCCAGAGACAATACGCGCTCTGTGATCCGCTAGTAGAATATAACGGGAGACTATCCCGTTATATAGTCTATATAACGGGATAGTCTGTGCCAGCGGGAAGGCAGTTCCGGCAGTACAGTGAGTAGCAGTGCAGTTCCCGGTAGCGGAGAGTACGGTAGCCTACGCCATTCGAGAGAGGAGAGCATACTAGCCCTGAGGAAGACCACGACAGGATGGTCGAAACGTCGGCAACTCAGCCTTCGACGCGGCGTCACCCGGACAGCTCAGATCACCACATGACTCTGGTCGCGGAAGCCTACGACTTCAGGAGACACCCAGCCAGCAGGAGTGAGTCGTCAGTGAGGAAGGCTGCGGGGCGGCGAGATCGCCCGGAGAGAGAAGACGACTTCGTGGGAGTGGGAGAGTCACCCTCCCACGCCGGAGACGACCCAACTGGGGCCGCGGCCCTTGCTACCACAGCCGGAGGGTACGGGAGCAAGGGATTACCGCCACTTGGGGCTTACGGCTCTATAAGGCCGGAGGTGACGGCCTGGCATGACAAGACACGCGTCACACCGCTGAGAAGTTGATCGTTTTCAGAAAGGCGTTACTGTGTGCACAGAATTTAAGCAAATGTCACCAATTTAGACTCCTCAGACATAGTCTCTTAATGATTTTTTGAGAAAAAAAACTCTGGGAAGATGTTTAAACTTTCTATTGAAACGAAATTTCCTTGTTACTTCTCTGTTATCCTTGATACTTGCAAAGTAACTCACAGTAAATTGTGTAAACCCGAAAATAATTTTAATATTTTCAGCATCTGAATCTTGTAGTTTGTCACTATCCTGTTTCTAAACGTTAAAAAACCGCTAGACCACCAGTAACATTATTGCCAATGCAGGAATGTGGACCTAGAGGTCTCAGGGCTCTCCTGCCAAAGAGAAATTCAATCGTTGGCTGGAAGAGAATTTAAGTGGCTGGTTTTACTGGTCGGTAGTTTCCATTGGTTTCTCCGATCGATACTCTCACAAACATATTCATGCTCTACAATATCACACATGTCAGGAGGCCCGTCGGGGGCTTACACATAGTCCCGGCTGGCGCGGTTTCCCGATGAGAGAGATACCTGGAGAAAAACCATCACACTGCCGTGCAGGTCGGTGCCGGATCTCACATTGCAGCCAGGAATGGACGTTGCGTCCTCCAGGGAGAATTCTAGTGGCCCGCTGCTCTGATCGGTAGTTTTCCGTGGTACCGCCAATCAACACCAGGCGAATACCGGAGCAGTACCTAAGAAATGGGCCGCGGACCGCGCGCGATCACTCCTTCCTCTTCCTTGTCCTACCCTCACCCTTTATTCACACTCACACTAACATGCACTGCACTACCACACATGCCGGGTAACCCTCCAGGAGCTACGAGCTTGTCCCGGCTGGGGCGGTGCCCCGCTGGTGGGAGATACCTGGTAGTGGAAACGCCCGTTAGCGGACGGTATCTCGCCATCAAGCGGGGAAAAAACCCATCTCCACCTCCCGCGATAAAACACGCACACACTTTCGAGGCTAATGACCTTAGACGTTGACGCGCCCGGAATCACTAATCAAGCAATGAAACATCAAAAAAACAGCCACCTCCCGGAACATAACGTACACATGCATGGGATTAACGAACTCATTCAAGCAACTAGCAAAAATCGAACTAGTTCAAGGCTGGTTCAATGCCAGAAAATATTAAGAAGGTTGCCGAAGTATTGTCTTTTGTTTACATCGTGACGAAGCTATATTTCTTTGTAAGATGAATCTACGCACAAATCAAATTTACGCTAGTGAGGAATCATCAAAGAGAGTAAGAGATAGGAAAAGAAGGAAAGCATAATCAATGACAAAGAATTATTGCAAATGTTATTACTAATTTCTAATGCGCGCAGAAATTGACCGAAAACTATAAAGCTGGTTGCGCGTCTGCCACTAACGTACCACTACCTACGACGAGGTAGACGAGGTAGTTACGACGTGACTGGCAGACGCGCAGCCAGCATCTCAACGCCTCCGTAATTGGTTGCGACAAGCGCGTTGGAATATGATGATGATTTAGATACTGCAGGACTCAGCGAGATGCATATGGAATAAGTGGAGGAACGGCAGGGGGGACAGGGAAACCTGCAGTCAACCCGCTTTGTCTACCGCAAATTCAGTGTTGATCCACTGGATTTTGAATTGTGAAATCAAGTGGTGCCAAGCTACGATCGCTCCATTACATCTGGTAATCTCGAATCTAAAGAGGAGAAATAATCGACTTACCAAATAAAGGCTAATAGTAAAAACCGTGTATGTCCCCAAACTCACATTCGGCCATTAATACAATTTATTTTCTTCCAATATTTTATTCGGGCCTGAAAACTTTTTTTTGAAGTCAGGCTAATTCATCACCTTTCTAGTCATCAAGTTCAAGACTGGTTCTACGCCAGAAAATATTAAGAAGGTTGAAGAATCATTGTATTTTGCTTACATAGAGATGAAGCTAAATTTGTTTGTAAAATGAATCAATGCAAAACTCAAATTTATGCTAGTGAGGAATCATCAAAAGAGAGAAAGAGATAGGAAAAAAAGGAAGGCATAATCAATGGCAAAGAATTATTCAAAATGTATATTACTAATTCTCAATGCGCGCTGAAATTGATAGAAATTATAAAGCTTCCAACCTTTTGAGAAGTGTTCATGGTTTTGTTATAAACCTAGGAACACAGGAAAAATCTAAAATCATCTATATTATTACTTTGCAATCGCGTAAAACTAGAAAAAGAAACGATACTGCCTTGAGAGATGACTGGGATTTCGTTAGGTCCTCACGAACGGGAAAATCAAAGAAACCGTTTCGATTTTGAACAGTAGCGGAGCAAGACAATTTTGGGTCCGGGGCAATGCTGAAACGTCACCCAGCAAAAAATAAATGTCACCCGCTAAAAAATTAAAAATGTAAAAATTGTATCAAGAAACTATGAGTTATTTTATTTCAACAAATAAAAAAATACTAGAAATGCTAGAAAAAGGTTTGGAAATATATTTTAAATAATAGGTTTAAGAGAAAGTAGTGATAAAATAAATAATTTTCACTATGATCTTAAAACCTAAAAATGGTGTGTTTAGTCAATGTTCAATAAAATCCCTCGTTACACACATCAAATAATAATATGAATTTCAGTGGAACTCATTTTAATGTTAGCGGCAGTTGTTACATACCATGGAGTCCTACCTTACACGTAATAACTAAACATTGAAGGTAAAAAAAAATAATTGAAAGTTTTATGAAATATCAGACTACTGTAGGGCGAATTATAAAATTACGATGGCAATTTTCTGAATTTCTAATGTCTTTTTCAATTTTTTCCTGTTTTTTCCAATCAGTCTCATTGATTTGCGGGGCCGCGGGCAATCGCCCTGTCTGCCCAAACCCTGCGCCAGCACTGATTTCGACTTAAAAAAATACAAATATTGGATTGTATAATTGCGCATATACTGATGTAACGCGAACTGACTAATTCCTCGTACTCAGTGATCCACTGCTCACGACCGCTGACACCATTGTACAGCACGGTCCATGGAAGATGCCATCCGCCATGAAATGGTTGTTGTTCGTGTGTAACAATAATATGCAACAATTTTTATGTTATGTACAACGTTGTACAACGTATGTACAACGTTATTTCAGGATTCGTGAATACTGAATATTTTAAATGCTGCGTCATTTTCACAACAACTTCTCTTAGTCATCTTTTGAGATTTGGGCGTACGTATATCGAGATTAATCCTTCGTCAAGTTTTGTATTTTGTAAGGTCCCAGACAATCAGGCCTTCGAACTAGGGACTCGGCTCTGTTAGTAACAGGAGTCCTAGGCGATCACCCGTCCAGGAATCCGTGCTGTCACGAGTTGACGTACTTCCGCGAGCGTGAGTTACGTCTTTAAGGAGCGCAGTTAAGCAATTACGCTAGCGACGCCGACTATTCTTAAACACTGTGCTTGGAACGTTTTATTAAACCACTTTGTGTGGTTTTGTTTAAAAGAATTTTTGCCGCTGCAGATTATTAGTTGAAACTAATATACTCTTACTTAAGTGTTTAGCAAACTCATATTATTCGGGATCAAATCAATTGAAAAAACAATGTAATTTAATATACTTCCCTACACGAAAACTGATATTTTGCATCTCAAATAAAAATTTCTCCAATACTCAACTGACTATACAAACAAGCATTCTATAGAGTCAGAGTTATTACTCAATTAGAACTTCAAAATCTGTATCTCAATAAAAACAGATTATAATGAGTTGGGACTATGATGGCAAGAGGAATTCCTGTGACGAGTGAAAATACGGCATTGTTTAATTTC